CTCAGTTTGCTTGCCTGTAAGCAGGGATAACAGTTACACAGTTGCATAGATTGTTGAGACTTATATAAGCATCTCACACATGGACGTGTTGGCCATTATGAGAACAATAGTTCTTCGCCTTTTATGGATACAGAGCTCAGAAAGCCGAAGTGATTAGTCCTAGATCCCCCAGGCAGTGACACCCCCCCCCCCGCAGCCATTGACACCTCCCCCCGCCCCCCAGCCAGTGAGAAGCTGTACTGAGCAATCCCAGAGGTCTGTTTGCCCAGACCTCCTCATGCCAAGGTCACCTGACAGCTAGTCACGTATCAAATCCCCCAAGTCCCATTTTAGCCCCACTGAATCTGAATTTCTGGTCTAGAATCTGTGCTTTTAAAAGCTTCCCGGGACCTCCAGGGTGCATGCTTTCAGAGATGGGGAATCTGCTGCCTCTACAGCAGCCCAGTGCACATGGATGGGCCACTCATCGTGTCCCAAAGCCAGAGAGCCAGAGCAAAGAGAACGCTTCTCATGTGGGTGAGTTATCCAAGGGCCTCCCCTGGTGTGCTCACCATCCCCCTTCCCCCCCCCCTGCACTGGCATCTAGCCTGGAGGGTTATTCATTAGGGGCTGGGAGTGGCTGGCCTCCGTCAGACACCTGTTGCAAGAGCCCGGACTTCCCTCTCAGCCCCAGCATCCCAAGGGCCTGTAAATCATTCATCCCGGGGCCCTCTCCCTGCCTGCTGCTCTCACACACCTCCCTGCCCCCTCCCTCCGAGGCTCACAGGAGGGGTAAGGGAGGGTGGCTTGGGGCAGTCAAGAGTTCTGGCCCAGAGCTGGGACTGGAGCCCAGGGCTCCTGATTGTCATTAAAAATACAAATTCATGTCGCACATGGTGAGAAAAAGAGAGAGAAGAGAGAAAGGAAGGAGGGAGGGAGGACAGAAGGAAGGAAGGGAAAGAACAAACAAGGGGCACCTGGGTGGCTCAGTTGATTCAGCCTCCAACTTTAGCTCAGGTCATGATCTTGAGGTTTGTGCATTCGAGCCCTGTGTCAGGCTCTGTGCTGACAGCTCAGAGCCTGGAGCCTGCCTCTGATTCTGTGTCCTCTCTCTCCGCACCCCCTCCACTCATTCTCTCTCTCTCTTAAAAACAAACATAAGAGAGAAAGGAAGGAAGGAAAGGAGGGAAAGAACAAGGAAGGAAGGAAGGAAGGAAAGAAAGAAAAAGAATCATCTCAAAGACTCTTGCCTCCTCACCTTCCTGAGGACCCACAGCTTCTGGCTCGCTTTCCAGGGGCAGCCTCTGTTATTGGCTTGTATATTCTTTTAGAAAGAATTCTATGGGCACAACATATGTGTGAGTGTGTGTGTGTGTGTCCCCTCACTTTTATACAAAAAACAGTAACATACCATTAGGTTTTTTTTCTCAGTACATCTTAGAAGTTGCTCCATATTGGTATGAAGAGAGCTTTACAATTTTTTTTTAATGTTTTAATTTTGAGAGACAGAGAGAGAGGGAGACACAGAATCCAAAGCAGGCTCCAGGCTCTGAGCTGTCAGCACAGAGCCCAATGCAGGGCTCTAACCCACGAACCTCGAGATCATGACCTGAGCTGAAGTCGGCCGCTTAACCGACTGAGCTGCCCAGGCCCCCAATATAATGCTCCTCTTCATGAATGTACCGTGTCTTATTTAGCAAGTCCCCCAGGTGTAGACACATCCAGTGTTTTTAGTCTCTGTGCCTTTCAAAGCAGCCATAGCCTTGGGCACTGTGAAATGAGCTCCTGGATTTGGGATTAATGGGCCACAGGGCGTGTGCACGTTAGATGAGGCTAGGTGTTGCCAAGCTGGGCTCCAGGGAGGCTGTTCCAGTTCTTACTCCCTGGCCAGCATAGGGGACCTGGTGGTTCCGGGACCGCGGTGTGACCCCAGAGGTTTTGTTCTTGAACAGAGCCACTTTCCTAGCAGTAGCGAAGGTGGCCTTCGAGAGCTCCATTAGGCCGAAGTTGGCCGGTGGTGCCTGAGCCCACCAGCCCATCCCCTGGGCCCAGGCAGGAGGCGGCAGGGCCTGGGGGCTGGGTCTGCCCTCACAGCTTCACTAGAAAGAAGTACTTATGCAGCTCGAGCCCTGTCTCCTAGTACCACCCCCTCCTCAAATCTGGGCTGAGTCAAGCTACAGCGTGGGTGGCCTTATCCCACTGCCAGGCAGGATGGCCATTGGCAAAGATGCCTCCTTTCTGAGCCTCGGTTTCCCCCCATCTATGAAGTCGGATGTGATGGATCCCCACTTGTTCATCAGAAAAAATGGGAGTGAGTGCTGGGTGCCTGAGGAAAAGGCACTGCTGGAAACCTCAGGCTGTTTGGGTGGGAAGGGAGCTCTACGGCCCCACTTTAGGCTGTGAGTGTTCTGGGCATTTTCAAGGGCCCACCCAGCCTGTGGACCGTCCAGCCCCAGCCCAGGGCTCTCGGCAGCCTGCCCTCACCATGGGCTGCCTCCTCCCCTCCCAGAAGTACAAGTCCAACAGTGGTCTGCTGTTTGAGCCAAGGCTTAGGAGACCTCTGAGGCGGGGGGGCTCTATGGACCCTAAGCCTGATGGGGTGAGGAGTTGGGCCAAGAGCAGGGAGTGGGACTTGAGACCAGGTGAAACGGCCTTAGGCAAGTCCACACTTGCGGAGGGCAGGCGGGGAGGGGGGGGGCTTCAGTGACCCTGACTGTTCAAGAAGGTTGAACTAGAAGGACTCACGAGGCCAGTATAACCTGCTGGAACGCTCAGTGTCTTCATCCGTAAAATGGGAGGAGACGAAACTGAGTCCTTCTGGCTTTAGCCCAGTGAAGATTCAGCGCTCTGCTGGGCTCTGGGGGTGGTGGCATTGGGCAGAACGGTTTTTGAGTTGGCGTTGAATTTTCTAGGCCAAGGCAGGGCCCATCTGGAGCCAAGTGCTCAGCATCCACTCCCTCGTCCAGGCCTGGCCTAGGGCCCAAGTGGTCCCGTGCTTACATCAGGTGGTGGGCTGAGGTCAGCGGGCGTGGAAGCGTCTAGTGCGGTTCCGCCACTCTGGCAGCAAGCCCGAGAAGAGCCCAGAAACATCTGTCATCTCCCTTTTTCCACAGAACCATTTGGCTCCTGGGGACCCCGGGACTGTCCTGCCAAGCTGCGTGGGCTTAGTCGTGGGGCGGGAGCTGGAGGAGGGGTGGGTGGTTGGCGCAGGGGTGCTGAGGGACAGGCAAAGGCAGAGCTGCGACCCTGGGGGGTAAAGGCCAGGCTGTGTGGGGGCAACGGGGTGACGTGGGGCAGGGTCGATGGTTTTGCAAGACCCGCCATGCCCTGGTGGGACACATGTGTGGGTCTGAAAGTGCTTGCGTGTGCCTCCTATTTATAGCTGAGTGCTGAGCTTATGAAGGAAACCGATGTTGAGGCAGGCCCCCGCGCCAGCCCAGGCCAAACATGACTCTTAATATTCTCTCCAGACAGACCTCTGATCCCGGCCCCAAAGAGAGCGCTGACATTAACCCCAGTCGGTCCTTACATCCAGCTCCTGGCCCCCGGCTGAGCTCTGTAGAGAAGCCAAGCCACAGCCTTCTCTCTCCAGGGTTACTGCAGGCCTATCTGTGCTTCCTCTTCCTCTTGCCAATCTGTCCTCCATGCAGCAGCCAGAGCCATATTAAAACCTACATCAGACTTCCTGTCTCCTGGGCTCAGAACCCTGCAATGGCTCCCATCCCAGACTGAGTAAAACTCAGAGTCCTTTTCATGGCCTATAAGGCCATGGACAACCTGCCCCTCTGTCCTTGCTCACGGCACTCTGGCTATGCCAGCCTCCCCACTGTTCCTCACTCAGGTCAGAGGTCAGACATGCTCCCACCACAGGGCCTTTGCACTTGCTCTTCCCTGTTCCTGGAACCCTCTTCTCCAGATACCGGCATGACTCTTTCCCTCGCCTCCTTCAGATCTTTGCTTGAATTCCCCTTCTCAGTAAGACCTTCGTGGAATCCATTTAAAATCGCATACTCTTTCCTCCCCGAATTCCCAGTCCTCTTTCCTGCCTTGTTTCTCTCTGGAATACTTATCCATTAACATATCAAATACTTAGTATTAATGTATCAAATTATTTTGGTCTAGCTCCCTCCACTAGAACCTAATTTCCCTGAGAATAGGAGAATTTTCTAGTTTTGCTCACTGGTATACCCCAGTGGTTGGCCCACAGCAGGAGCTCAGTAAATGTCTGTAGCCTGAGCCTGAGTCACTGCTCTGTGCCAGCAGAAGGCACAGCAGTGTGGATGGCTCTGGGCAGGCGAACCCCAGCTTGGGGCTTGGTGTCATGGGCCAGGGCTTTTTGAGGTATGTGACAGGTCCTCAGGGCCACCAGCAGTCTCAGTGCTTTCTGTTTGGTTTGGGGGCCAGCAGCCGCCAGGCGTTTGACCGAAATTGAGGAGCACTCCGCCCCTCCCCCAGGAAAGAGAGGCAAGCTTCTGCCTCTGCCTATGGTCGCTCTTCCCCACTCTTCTCATGTGCTGGAGAGAGGGGCAGCTACTCGTCATTAGTCTCCATCTGGCCTGATCTGCCAGGTGCCCCTCTGTGTCACTGGTGTTAGTACCTGTGACCTCAGGGTCCTGAATCTGAACCACCTGAAGAGCTTGTTAAAAATGCAGACTCTGCCCCCAAGCTTTCCAGGTCTCGGAGTCAGGGATGGCCTGTGTTTTTCACAAGCTCCCCAAGGGTCCATTGCGGGTCTGGAAACTGCTGGGTTAAAGCCGGAGGAGCCGGCGATCAGCTCCACCAGCAGCCTGCTGTGTAACCCTGAGCAAGTTGCTTCCCTTCTCTGAGCCTCAGTTCCTCCTCAAATGGGCATGAGAGCAGTGCTTGCCTCTCGGGTGGGGGGTCTCCAAGCCTGACCCCTGGGGAATGGTTGTTACCCTGGGTCCTTCCCCGCCTCAGGATGCTCCCTCGGGGGCCTGGATGTCTTCCTCCCTGGGGCCCCGCCCACACTCCTCTCCTCTCCTGGCCCCTCTTCCTCTCAGGTAAGACCAGGACCAAGGACAAGTACCGCGTGGTCTACACCGACCACCAGCGTCTGGAGCTGGAAAAGGAGTTCCACTACAGCCGTTACATCACCATCCGGCGGAAGTCGGAGCTGGCCGCCAATCTGGGGCTCACCGAGCGGCAGGTGTGTGTGGGTACCCCCACCTTAACCATGGGAGCAGGACTGGGAGTCTGGCCTCTAGGCTGTCAGGCAGATTATGGACTTAGTCAAGGGAAGAGAACAGAGAGGTTGAGTCTCCGGCCATAGTCACACAGCATAGCGGAAACTGAGCTGCTGCCAAATCGTCTCCACTTGGGACAATATTCACTGTCTCTGACCTCTAACAGGGGTCGGGGGGAGGGCTAGGGGATCTGATTAACTTTAGGCTACAGCAGCCTATCATGAGTCCTGTTTACGTCACGAGGAGGAAGCACAGGGAAGCCTTCTTGCGGGAGGGGTGTTAGAGCATGGCCTTAGAAAATGGGGACAGAGGAGGTTACAGAGAAAGTTGTCTTTCGGGCTGTGGAGCAGGTTCTAGAGGGGAGGGTGTATTCCGAGTCCCTGAATAGTGTGGGTGGTGGTGCAGGAGGGAGGCCACACACCCCACGTGGAGAAATAAGAGCCCGGCTCTCCACCCTCTTTCGACTTAGCCCATCTCTGTCCTCCGATGCCACAGGTGAAGATCTGGTTCCAAAACCGGCGGGCAAAGGAGCGCAAAGTGAACAAGAAGAAGCAGCAGCAGCAGCAGCCCCCACCGCCCCCACAGCCAGCCCACGAAGTCGCCCCCACAGCAGCGGGGCCGCCCCTGGGGGGCCTGGGCCCCAGCTCGGCCAGCCTCCTGGCAGCCTCCTCCCCAGTGCCTGTTAAGGAGGAGTATCTGCCGTAGCCCCCTGCCCCGCCTTGGGGGCCGGAGGCCCGGGGACTCAGATGCTGGGCATGTAGCTCCCGTTAAGGCCTAGGAGGCTTGGTTTGAGTCCCAGGCCTGCCACTGACCTTCTCGGTAACCTTGGACAAGTCGCCCACCCAGCCCTTGCATCCCCTGGCCCATCTGTGCAGTGAGTCTGTGGGAGAAGGACATTTCCACTCCTGTGTTCTAGGCCTCAGGCGGGTAAGGGAGCCCAGGGTGGGAGGTCTCAATCCCCAGAGGGCCAGGTGAGTGGCCATAAGTCCCTAGGTCCCACCTCCCCCTCCATAGGTTCAAGGGTGGGAGGCCCCTGGAGGGAATGCACTGACTCTGGAGAAGGGGCAGAGCTGAGAGCTTAGCCTTAACTGTAAAGGAGAGGGAGGGATGGGGGGTGGGGAGGGATGCGGTCAGCTCACACCTGCCTCTTCCGAGGGCTCCCCTCCGGCTGCCCCCCACCACCACAAATTGCCCTGACCCCTGTCCAGGCTGGATGCAAAGCACAAAGCCCACAAGACGGAGCTGGAGCAAGAGGCTCTGGTGACGGACCCCTCTGGACTGCAGAGCCCTACCCCTCGCTAGCACTCTCAGTGGGGCCTCCGGACGGGGCGGGGGCAGCGTCCACCTGCCTAGTTTCTGCCACTCCACTAGGCTCTCCCTTGGGGCTTCCTCCAGACCAAGCAGAGCTCACAGCTGGGCAAGTGTTGCACATAGAGTGGAATCTCTTGGATGCAGCTTCAAGAATAAATTTTTTTTTCCTCTTTCAAAAGATGTATAAAAATCATTCTTCACAGCATTAGAGGAAGATGCTGACGTAGCATAATAAACCGCCCTCACCCTTCCCTCCCAACTGCACAGCCTCCCCTCCCCACCCCCCCAGTCTCAGTAGACCTGTAACAAGGTCACCTTAAAACTGTGTTTGAAACAGATCAAAATAGGACATTGTTAGATTAAGTCTATGAGACTATGTAAAGGTTTTTTTTTGCTTTAATGTTTATTCATTTTTGAGAGAGAGAGAGATACAGAGACAGAGCATGAGTTGAGAAGGGGCAGAGAGAAAGGGAGACACAGAACTCAAAGCAGGCTCCAGGCTCTGAGCTGTCAGCACAGAGCCCAACGCGGGGCTCAAACCCACAAATCGTGCGATCATGACCTGAGCCGAAGTCAGACACTTAACTGACTGAGCCACCCAGGCACCTTGAGACTATGTAAAGTTTTAAGTCCATTTTATAAGCAGAATCATCAGACAACCCAAAACTTCAGGTTTTATTTTAATTCCTCAAATACTTTCAGCTCACATTTTTCTTTCAACGGATGATACTCATTGGGCACCTCCATGTGCCAGGCATGGCTGAGCCCACGGAATGCACAGCTCTCACCCCACAAAAGTTCCCAGTCCGAGCTATGCTCTGGACCTCAAAGGAACAGGGCATCCGGGGAGCCCAGAGTGGGCTTCCAGCTTATGCCAGAAGGTCTGGGAAGCTTCCTGGAGGAGGTGATGTTTGGATTGAGGCCTAAGGGTAGGCGCTGCCAGACCAACAAAGGAACAGCATGCTCATAAAAAAGAATACTAACAATATGAACTTAAAATATAATTTTTTAAAACTCCAGAGACAAGCTGCTGATCTCAACTCCCAGGGGCAGGCAGAGGTCTGGGGAAAGTTCTGGTGTCAGCTGCCTTCCCCTCTGTTTACTGTTCTGGGATGTGGCCCAGCCATAAAAAGTGCGCATAGCCTGCCTGCCTGCCCTTTGCTCCTGGGGCAAGTGACAGCAATGTGCAAGGTGGAGCCAGTCCCCACACAAGACCCTCGGAGCAGCAGGCACGTCTGTCTCCTCCTGCTGGTGGCCTGGCTGACTTCACAGCCTCCCCAAAGATGCTGGGCATCTAAGGCCTGGGAACAGGACCGGACCAGGGGAAGGGCTACGCTTCCCAGAGCAGAGGAAGAGGGTTGGTGGAAGGTGTGGTTGGCTGCGAGTGCATACAGTTTTCTGATCTTCAGAAACAGTTGCTGTGTGACCCTGGGGTAACTGCGTCTCTTCTCTGAGCCTCATTTCCCCATCTGTAAAACCAAGGCACTTGTTCACCAAAAGGAAATGGTTCAGGTCAAGTCAGTTTGGCCAAGTCCTGCAGACTCATCCCTTCCGGGAGCGTCACAGGGGCACATTAACACATCAAAGGCTCTGACATGTCCAGCCGCAAAGAAACCCTTTGAATTTTCTTTAATCCAGTATTCTCCATGCTTTGCTACCCAGGAGCACCCTACTAGCACCTACTAGTGCCCCAGTGAGCACCACACACTCTGGAGCGTGGGGATGCTGTGGGCTGGAGGGCCACGCTTCGGCTGTGGCTCCGTGGTCACCAGCACGTTTTGTCAGATGGCCTGGCCTCCAGCGTGACTACCTCCAAGCTCTGAGACGTCAGGCAACTTGCTTAACTTCTCTGATCCTCGGCCTCCTCATTTGCCAAATGGAAATAAAGTACTTTAACCCAATCAGAATGTAGCACAGAGCAGGTGCTCTCATTTAGCCACCTGCTTATGGGGCTGTTGTGCCCTAATGCGAGATGCTGGCAGGCCCGCCCCAACCCCCAAGGCTGAGGACAGACGGTGGCTTGGAAGATGAGGCAGGGCAAGCCTGTCCCCAGCCACAGGAAAACCTCTGTCTGGCTGGAGGGCAGTGGCCAGGCCCGGCAGGCTGGGTGAAGGTCAGGGGGCTAGGTGGGGCCCACAAGTGGGGCTGATCACATGTCCGTTGGTGTTTGAGCTCTGGGAAAAAGGAAACTTTTATCTAAAACAACTTCCAAGCAGTGCCATGGGCAGCCTTGTGAGGTAGTGAGTTCCCTGTCCCTCAGAGGGTTCCACCAGAGACTGGGGCGTTGTGGCTCAAGAAAGGGACTTCCTCATGTCCTGTCAGATCCTGCAGCCAGCCCAGCGCTGAAAGGTATTCCAGCTTTCCTATCATTAGGAGCTGCTGTGGCTTCTGTTTTGTCTATAGCAACTGTATGCCCTCATTCCCCCCAGGGAGAGCCCCCGTGGCTGGAGACTGGGGGTCCAGACGAATGTCAGATATGGCTTGACCTAGCCGTCAAAGGCCCGTGGCCTGGCCATGGCCTCTAGCAAGCCAGAAGCACACACATGAGCACTATGTTTTGGGTGCAATTTCCCAAAACTGTAGATCCCTGATGCCGTGCTAGGAACCCCAGTCTGGGGAGCAGTCCCATCGATTGCCAAGAGATGGCCGTGGGTGGAGTGGGGAGGACCACAGCTCCACTCTAGGGGAGGACTCAGCCCACTCTAGCAATAGAAAGGGTTTTTTGTCCCCCAGGGGATGTGTGTATGCAGGCAGGTATAACAGGTCGTGATGGGGGTCTGTCCCAGGAAACCAGCCTGGCTCTCGGGAGATGAGGTGCCCCCCCAATGGGATGCAGACCCTTGGGAGCACAGCAGCCCTAGGAGAGGGGGCTTTGGAGGGTAATCCTGTCCCAGCACGGCCACTCCGGAGCCACTTTTCTCTGAATCATACCAGATGGACCAGCAGTCTGATTCCTCATTTTTCACAGTCGCCACTCTCTGGTGTAACAAAACACATGCTCTCCAGCGATAAAGTCTGAACGTTTTAGCAAATTAAAAATGTTTATTTATATGCATTTAAAAATATCTCTGCATATAATAAAAGGAAGCACATTTTCATCTAACTCTTTCCTTAAATCAGCACACATCTCCATTTGACTTCTGGTTTGATGTGAGACCAGGAGAAATGAGACAGAGAGAGAGAGAGGTGGGAAGAGGGGAAGGGAGATAGATTGTTTCCTGGTTGGGATTCCTGAGTGCTGTCTTTCCGCCAAGTAGTAACCAAACTTCTTCTGGGAGAGGGGAGAGGGGACGTCAGTTGCAGTAACCGTCAAACACGCTTGGTAGCTAGACTCATGGCCAGTTGTGTGATCACAAGACTGAGGTTTCAGTGGGCAGATTGACCTATGTGGACAGTATCTTCTAGAAGATGTTGGGATTTTGTTTGTTTGTTTGTTTGATGAAGCCAGACTTTTCCAACAAGGACTGTGGTGATGGAGCAGAGGGTGACAGAAAGCTGTGATCTGGAGGGCAGAGCCTGAGTGGGATCAGAATCTTAGATGCCAAGACCAACCTGCCTCTACTTCATGCAGAGATTATGCAAGTCCTGCCTTTTCTGGGCCCTGGTTTCCCCATCTGAAAAGAGAGAGCCTGGATCCATTTGCACTCGCAGCCTCGGTGACTGCCACCCATGTGTAGGGTTCGCCCCATGATGTGTTTGCTTGTGGAAGGGTAAAGATCCCGTCTTGTTCCCTCCCATCACCCCAAGGGTGGCTCTTGGGTGCAAGATGCAACTGGGAAGAGGCCATAACGAGGCCAGTCTTCCAGGGCTCTTGAGTCGATGCCTCCCCTCTATACTCTCTTCCTGTGGTTCTCTGGACCTTCCACCAGGTCTAATGAAACCCAGGTACCAATGGGAGGGGGTAGTTCAGTAAAGCTTCAGCCTGTCCTATAAGAAAAGAGGTGACAGCCCCTAGGGAAGGTGGGGGGTCCTGTCTGGGCCTTCCTGGATTCAGGAGCTGCTGGTTTTTGCCTTCTTGGCTTCTCTCCAAATCCCAGAGCTTCTGTGCTCTGTGTGACCTTGGGTACATGACTTCTCTCCTCTGAGACAGGTTCCTCGGGTGCAAAATGGGGATGCCCAAACCTGTCTTCCCAGGCTGTTGGAAAGAAGTACAAATTAGATATTGGATAGAAGCGCTCGTCAAGAACAGAGTAGGGTTCAATGAGCGTTCCTTCCCTTCACATTCAGGTGCCAAGGGCTCCTTCGTCCTACATCTGAAGAGCCCCCCGCCTGCCCTTGAGACCAGGCTTAGAGAAAGGAGCAGCTGGTCTTGCCTCCTCCCAGGCTCCAGGGGTGTGAGAGGCAGCAGACCATTATCCTCACTTCCCCAAAGGCCTCCCCATGTTGGCTGATGATGGGGTAACGCTGTGCTTTAGTGTCTGAACTGGGACAGCTTTGAGTGAAAGGGGCATGGTTCGTAATGCATATGCCTGTCCACTAGCTTATACCAGTTCAGTCCCATAGAGCAATGAACACGAACTTTCTAGCTAATAATTCCCCATCCCAGTCACAGCCCACGCGGACCCTCGCACTGCTCTGGGAGGTCAGTCAGGCACGGGGTGGCTGATGGCTTGGCTTAGAGATGTGAAATTCTAACAGTCCTGAGGTCACAGTGCTGGTGGGAGGAACCCAGAGGCTCATGATCAAAGTCACAAGCCATCTGTACAACACGGCGATGCTTGCCCTGTCTATTCTTGCCCCAACCTCCCTGTCTCTTTTCATTCCAGGCAAAGGAGGAACGTTCAAGACCTCCACTAGCCCAGAAGGTCCATGATGCCTGACTCTGTCACTGGTGTCACTCACTAGCTCTGTGACCTTGACTCAACCTCTCCGCTTCAGTTTCCTCATCTGTAAACTAGGGATGGCACCGTCTGTCTCTCGGGGTCACTGTGTGGAGATAATAGGACCTAGCCCAGCATCCGGCACAATAAATGCAGGTAGAGTGGGTGATTGGAAAATATCTGATTCATGGCCGCTGTTCCTTTAGTTGGCAGAAGAAGCTGGAAACCTATAGTCAGTCAGTACAGGTCAGCTGAGCCCCTACTATGTGCCAGGCATGTTTTCTATGCCAGTCTCCCTGGATTCCTCACATCACTGTAAGGGAGGGAAGATTCTTAACCCCATTCTCCGGATGAAGAGACAGCACGGCAAGCTTAAGTAATGTAGGCAAGGTCACACAGCAAAGAGGGGGCACTGGGTCCCTGGAACCTAAAACCCGGCTGTTAGTGTCCATGCACGTGGCCTTCCTCTCGCTGCCCAACTGGGAAAGGAAGGCCCAGAGAGGGCAGGTTACTTGCCCAAGGTCACGCAGGAGACGGTGGTGGCCAGGGCCTCCATCCCTCCGAGGGTTTCTGTCGCGACCCCCCTCCTCCCGCGCTCGCGGCCCCTCCAATCCGCAGCTCTGCGTGCGGGGGCGCGCGCATACCTCGGCTGTCCGTCCGTCAGCCAGCCGTCTGTCTGGGTGCATACGCGGGCGCAGCCGTGCTCCCCTCCCCAGCCTTGGGCGCTGCGCAGGGAAAGGAAGGGCGTCCGTGGCGCCCGGCCCGCGCCCCACACGCCCCACGCCCCACGCCCGCAGCCGACAGACGGCAGCGCCTGCGCCCGAGCCCGCGCCCCCCCAGCCGGTGCGCGGGAGCCGCCAGGGCAAAGTCGCGGCGGCCGGCGGGCAGCGCGGTCTCTGGCTCCCTCGCTCGCTCTCCGCTCTCAGGGGAAGCCAAGCCGGGGAGCCCCGGTGACCCGCCCTCCAAGATGAAGAAGCTCCAGGGAGCTCACCATCGCAAGGTAGGACACGAAGACGGGGGTCGTTCACAGGGGCGGGGGCACACCTGAGGGAGGAGTGCGGAGGCCCGCCCCCATCCAGGCCCCGGGAGGGTCGGAGAGGGCGCCGGGACCGGTTCTGGGCACTGGGGGAGTCCGGACTGAGCTAGATTGTGAGGAGGGGCGGGGTCACGGTCTGCCGGGGGTGGGGGGGTGAGGTGGGGTTGGGGGCAGGGTTGTCTACACGACCTTCCTCATCTGGGGGTCGGGATGTCGTGTGAAGGGTCTGAGGTTCATTGGGCCGGGTCCTTCGAACAGGTGTCTGCAACCCTAGGAGGCAAGGGGTGAGGCGACTGGGGCCAGGCGCCCGCCCCTCCCCAGTCCCCAACCAGTTTCCTCCAGGGGCTGACTGGGGTTGGGGATGTAAGAATAGCGGAGGGCCAGCCTTGAGCTGCACTGATTTCAGGGATGGGGGGCGGGGAGCCGCCCTGGTCCTCATACGTGCGCTCTACACTGAAGCAGCCGCGGAGAGCCAGCAGGGGACGCTATCTTTCCAGCCCGTGCTTCTGCCCTGCGGGTGTCCGCCACCTGCTTCCTCCCCACCAGCTCTGGCTTCCTTGCTAAGACCCCAGGCTGCCCCACGGCAGAGGCGGGGGTCGGGGGGGGGAGGAAACGGGAGACCCAAGGGATATGGGCGTGGGGTGGAAGCTGGCACCACAGAGGCGGACAAACCTGTGTTCCTGGAGCCCAAGGCCCGCGTCCTCAGCCCCTCCCCGGCTCCCCCTGTGGAGTTGGACCTCCCAGCCAAGTAGCCCGCGTTGGGTCAAGTTTTCTCGCTTTGGGCTTAATAGAATCAGTCCCCGCCCAGGAGTCAGAACTCCTGGGCACTATTTCTGCAGATGCCACTTACCCTGTGACTTTGGGCAAGCCCGTTGTCTAACCTGGACTATCATATGCTGATCCAGCTCCAGTGTTAAGGCACCAGAGCAGGTGCCACTGTCCCTGAGTCGGGGGTGGGGGATGTGGTGACTCCCCAGGGGCTGGTAGGTGTAGCTGTGAGAGAGAGCTCACAGGGGTGGTGTTATGGACCTCAACCCCCCCCCCCCACCCGCCCCAGTTCACGCTCTGCGCCCCTGCAGCTGGGTGGGGAACCACTGTGGTAAGTGGAGCTTTGCTATTCGCTGACATGAGTGACTTCCTGGGGCCATTGGTGGTCCCTTGGGTCTTCTTGGGGCCTGTCCCCCATTCTTTTCCATCTTCCTACTCTCTCCCCTTTCCCTTCCTCCCCTCTCTGTTGCCACCAGACCACACAGTACGTAAATAGTAATATTTATATACTATTTATATATCTATAAAGCCTTATCTCATGTAATGCTCCAAAAATTCTGGGGGCTAGGCCTCACTCTCCCCACTTTATAGACAAGGGAGAAACAGACCTGGGGGAGAGGCACACAGCTAGCTGCTTTCCTAAAGACGGGTTCAGTAACCTCGGACCAACAGGGCACGGGCGGGGCCACCTGGCCTCTGTGTCCCCTCCCTTGGTCTCAAGGTGAATGGGGCAGGGGGTGAAGAATGTCAGGTCCCAGCAAAGCAACAGCAGTGTTCAGAGATGAGCACTCGGCTGAAAGTCAGGGGGTGTAGGTTCAGGTCGTACGCTGCCCTTGCTATTTGACCTTGGGCTCACCTGTTTCCTTCCCGAAACTCAGTCTCTTCATCTGCACAAGGATGAAGTTAGACTCCACATTTCCATTGTCTCTCTCTCATCCTGAAGAAGGTCTGAGAGCCTCGGCTTGAGGCAGGCTAACCTCCTCCGGTCCCTGCCACCACTAGTGACCTACATCTGTTGGTCCTTAAAAGATGGGGTGCAGGTCTGGCAAACCCACGATTCTGTTTCTGCGTGACTGGGGATAGGCGGGGCAGGGGGATCGGGGGTGGGAGCTTCACAGACAGGCGGAAGTGTGAAGCGACTCATTAAGCTTCCAACCCTGCCCCATTGATTTAGTTGCCTGTCACCCAGCCATCCCCTAGGGCTGCCCCAGCCTCCTGGGATTCAGCCATGGTGGGGTTGGGGGCTCCAGATTGGCTCATCTCTGGAGGACCCAATCCCCTGTCCCTGGAGCCGGAGCAGGCTTCCCCCTGATTGGGGGAGGTGGGGGACCGAAGAGCTGGCAGCATCCTGCTCCTAGAACTCTTGTCGCCATGGAAACAGAGAGCCGGGACTGTGAGCAGAGAAAGGGCAGCAGCTTCTCAGGAGAGATCAGAGGAACCTCATTACTGGGCCCTCCTGCCAGCTGGCCTGAACAGGGTGGGGGGAGGGGGGTGTCACACAGTGACTGGCCTGTCACACTACCCCATTTCAGGGGCCAGTGTTAACTAGCTGCTCCTCGGTCCCTCCTGGAGCTCACCTGGCAGGGGTGATTCCAGAAGGCCAGGGGTCCCAGCTGGGGAGGGACCTTGTGGAAAGGGGCATCGGAGGGGCAGGAGCGGACTTCAGATGGGTCTGGGGGCCGCTGCCACCCTCAGCCCAGCGTGTCTGAGATCACCGCAAGCCCAATTACTGCAGAAGTGGCTTTTTCACGCTTTTCATCATTATCGCCATCGCCAGTGATGATGTCCTTGTTACCACTGCCCCTCTGGCCAATAGCCAGCCTCTGGCAGGATCGTTACTGTGGTTGCCGCTGTCAATGAGAGTCACCGCAGTACTGTTACCCCCATTCTGTCACCTGAACCCATTGCTCTGACCCTGTCACCGCAGCCAGACACCTCCAGTCCTGTGACACCTGCGCTCTCCCTTCACCATCCTTATCCCTGCAAAGCCTCCTCTGTCACCAACTAATTTATGTGTAGACACCTACCTGGCTGGTGCCAGGAAGGGGAATTTTAGGGGAAAAAAATAACTCATTACTGAGTCCCTGTGCTACGATCTGATCTGGTCTTCAACCCCTGTAAATGTCTGGTGAAGCCTCTCTCACAGACCATTAGAGCCAGAAGACTAGTAGATAGACCTACATTTCTCTGAGTAAAACTTAGCACACTAGTTTCTTACAACCCTTTTCTTAAACAGAATTGCAGAATACTGTGTGTTCTAGTCCCTATTTGGAGAATCACAGTGGGTGATTGGTCCATTAAAGGTCCATTAAAGGATCTGACAAGTCCTGCAGTAAAGAAAACTTTTGATTTGTGTTAACCCAGAGTTTCCCAAACTTCTTCTTCTTTTTTTTTTTTTTTTAAGTTTACTTATTTATTTTGAAAGTGAGAGAGGATGCACATGCCTGGAGAGTGTGGGGAGGGGGAGGGCAGAGAGAGAACCCGAAGCAGGCTCTGCGTTGTCAGCGATACCTGCATAGAGACCAACTCGGGGCTCAAACTCACAAACTGTGAGATCATGACCCGAGCCACAATCAAGGGTCTGATGCTTAGCCACCTGAGCCATCCAGGCCACCCCTTCCCAAACTTCTTTGACTCAAGATTCCTTTTTGCCACACTTAGCACCTATGAACACCCAAAGGGATGTGTTTTTGGAAACACTGATGTGTTCAATCCATCCCCTCTGTGTCTGGATGAGGGAACGGAGGCTCCAAAAACTCTTTCCTAAAGTCACACCATGAAGGGGCACAGACCTGGGACTAGGATTGTAGTCTCTTGACTCCCAGCCCAGGGATATCACTGTTCTCCCACAACCATTGCTGAGCAGGAAGCGGGGCATTCTTTCTCCTCTCTCCAAACCATGATGCTATTCTATAACCGGCCTTCTTCGCAGCTCCATCCTTCTCTGTGCTGGGTCTGAATTTCAGAGGCAAGCAGGAGGGGTGTGGCTGTCCCTTTCTTCTGACCCATTCCAGGAGACACTTAGGGAACTGCTCCCTGAATTTCAGATAGTTATCTTTGCATCTTTGGGCTCCCCTGCAGGCCCTCAGCTTAGCCTTACTACCATCCCCAGGGCCAGCATTCTAAGCAGCTGGAGGAGGGCCTCCATTCCCAGCCCCAGTCTGATGGGAGAATCCCCAGGGCACTTCCCCGCCCTCCTGGAAGTGCAGGAAGCGATCTTAGGGACCACTCTGTGTCCCTAAGGGTTTCTGTTCCCCTCTGTGCACGTATCTCTCCTGTAACGACAGGAAGATTATGACGTTCTGAGATAGATCAGAACTCAGTAGCCTCTTTCTGCTCATGAACTAAAATTCACAGCCCTCCATAGGCCTCCCTGAGCCACCAGAGTATGAATTCAGTTCCTCCCTCAGTCCAAGTCCCCTTCTTTCTATGCTAAGGGCCCCCACTTCTTCCCCTGTCCTCCATGACTACTTCTGAACACCTTCCCATCTGGCCACCTGCCCCGTGAACGTGCTCCAAGCTGTCTGTGTCTTTCTTAAAATATGGTGCCCAGAATAGAGCAGCAAAAGGCCAGCACCCAGGGGCACCTGGGTGGCTGGGTCAGTTGAGCGTCTGGCTTCAGCTCAGGTCATGATCTCACAGTTTGTGGGTTCAAGCCCTGCATCGGGCTCTGTGCTGACAGCCAGCTCAGAGCTTGGAGCCTGTTTCAGATTCTGTGTTCCCCTTTCTCTCTGGCCCTCTCCTGCTCATAATCTCTCTCTCTCAAAAATAAACAAAATTTTTAAAAAATTAAAAAAAAAAAAGGCCAGCACACAGGGGCACCTGGGTGGCTGGGTCGGTTGAACATCCGGCTTCGCCTCAGGTCATGATCTCACAGTTAGTAGGTTCGAGCTCTGCATCGGGCTCTGTGCTGACAGCTTGGAGCCTGGAGCCTGCTTCAGATTCTGTGTGTCCCTCTCTCTCTGCCCCTCCCCCACTTGCACTCTCGTTCTCGCTTTCAAAAATAAATAAAAATTTTAAAACATTGAAAAAAAAAAAAAGGCCAGCACCAACAGTTGAAGACATGGGCCCCCATGTTGGGAGGCTCTGGGCCTGAGACCTAGCCCTCCGCCAGCCAGCCCCCTAAAACCTTGCGTCTGTCCTGACACCTCCCTGAGCCTCGATGTTCCTCAGGATTGAAGTGGTGCTTCGACAAGTACTTACTTAGCTCATAGAGTTATTTTGAGAATGAAATCAGGTGAAACGTTTAGTGCACCGAGCACGTAGTAAGAGCTCAATACAGGATAACCATCATTAAGATCATCATCATCATCGTCATTGACATGGGACCGTCCTTTGGTTTGACCTCTGTGTGAACCAAACTAAGATCCAGGCTGCCTTCTTAGTGCCTGCGCCACCCTTCTGGCCTCATCAGTTTGTGGTTCCCGGAGAAGCTCCTGCATGTGCCCATGTTCGCCCGGGTGAGGGCGGTTGGTTTTCCCCAGCCAGGAGAGTATCTTTGCATTTAGCCTGGTTTGATGTTATATTCTTATTTTGGTTTGGGGCGGGACATGTTCCAATTCCAGCCTGGCCTCACCTTTATCCCTCACCTCATGGGTCTCTCTTACTGGCAGCCCATTACCCCAGACCTGCTGATGACCCCCAGTGACCAGGGTGATATAGACCTGGATGTGGACTTTGCCGCCGACCGGGGGAACTGGACGGGCAAACTGGACTTCCTGCTCTCCTGCATCGGCTACTGTGTGGGCCTGGGGAATGTGTGGCGCTTCCCCTACCGAGCCTACACCAACGGAGGAGGTAGGGGCCCAAGGGCCTGCTTGAGGGGCACAAGGCTTGGGGTGGAGTGAGGTTTTAAGTGGCCTTGGCCACCATCTCGTACGTGACCTTGGGCAGAATTGAAAGCAGTGACACGGGGCTGGAAGATGCTCCCTCCCTCCCTCTGCGTTGTCTTTTTTTTCATCACCCATCCCCTCCTCTGTCTCTCTCATGCCCCGTGAGGATTCCCTCAGCTCTCCCCCAAAGCCTTGGCCCTTCCTGAGCCCTGAGAGATGGGCAGAGAGGCTGCCTCTGCTCCTGGTAGCAGCCTCTGTCTGCCTGTCAGCAATCGCTGTGCTTTCAGAGCTCTCCCATCCCCTCCTCTTCCCCACCCCCTCCAGCACCTCACTCATCAGGTGTCCTTCTCACTCTCAAATCTTTGGTGTGTCCTCCTCTCCTGGTCCCTTTCATTCAGACTGCAGACGTGAAGTCTCTCCCACCTTAAACACATCTTCTGTGTCCCTGCTTCGCCATCGAGTGACTCTTCTGTGTCTCATTAACAGTAGCTGGGGTTGAACACAGCATCTGCCAGGCCCCCGGCTTGGTGTTCTCTTATGGAACCCTGATGACAGCCCTCCCGGGCAGGCACCGGTGTCCTGATCTGACGGCCAAGGCTTGGGAAGGCCAAGTTTCTTGTCCAGGGTCATCTGGTGGCCGACCCAACATTCCACCCCCAGGACTGCCTTCTCCAGAGCCATTATGCTCCCACCCACCCTCGAAGCCTCTTCCTGTTTCTGTCAAACTCACTGAAGAAACACCTATTGGCAGAGTGACAGAAATCCAAATAGGAGCAGAGGAGGCAAGGAAACGATGAATTGCTGTGACCGGGAAGTGTAGGGCTGTAGCTGGCCACAGATGCTGTAGCAGCTCGCTCATGGCCACATTTCTCTTGGCTCTCCCTTTCCCTGGTTCCCGGTTCTGTTTCTCTCTGGGTACCAATGTCATTTTCTGCTGGGACAGGCTCCCTCCTTGAGGTTGGGCTGGAGCGGCCACAGACATCTCTGGAATGACTTTATCCTCAGAACTGTTGTTCTCTCTGAGTGGATCTATATAGGACTGCAGGGAAGGTCTCCAACTGGCTTGGGATACATACCCCAGAGGGAGTGGGGCGGGGTGACTCTTGTGAGTGAGAGCCCTTCCAGAGCCCTATCGTGGGGGGCAGTTCTGTAAAGGGCATGGCTGCCAGTACAAGAAGCAAATGGGGAGGGATGCTGGGCACTCGGGACCATGGTGGCAGCCACAGGCATCTGAGGGGGCGTGGCCAAGAGGATGCAGGAAGGTAGATTGGGGCCAGATTGGGCAGGTGTGCGTTCATGTCCTTACTGAGGAGTTTGCACTTCTCTCCGGCAGGGAAGTTCTCCTTTATTCGTTCATTCATTCAGTGTTTGCTCTGGGCCCAGCCCTGCTCTGGGCACTGGGGCTGCAGAGGTGAGTAAATCCCCACCAGCCCCCTTGGTCCTCTGTGAGCTGGCATAAAAGGACAGTTCCAGGACACCTGCCCCGTCACAGGGGTCTGTGGGCAGGGGCCATCAGGGGCGGGGCGGGCCTGGGGCTGGCCTTTAGGTGAGCCAACCGTCCTGACACCGTCCCCCACCCCCTCCTCCTCGCAGGCGCCTTCCTCGTGCCCTACTTCCTCATGCTGGCCATCTGTGGCATCCCCCTCTTCTTCCTCGAGCTCTCCCTGGGCCAGTTCTCCAGCCTGGGACCCCTGGCCGTCTGGAAGATCAGCCCCCTCTTCAAAGGTGAGGCCTCAGCGTCCCGGGAAGGGTCTGGACCTGGGAGAGGCAGGGAAGTTGTCCCCCTTCCCCCCCCCCAGCTCTAGGCAGAGGGGGGAGTGAAGCTCAGAGAGGGGATGGCTTCCGGAGGCCGCGCGGCAGCCTGGCCTGCAGGAGGCCTTGGCCTGAGGGCAGCCCCCACTCGCCTCCCCCTGCCCCCCAGGTGCCGGCGCCGCCATGCTGCTCATCGTAGGCTTGGTGGCCATCTACTACAACATGATCATCGCCTACGTCCTCTTCTACCTCTTCGCCTCCCTCACCAGCAACCTGCCCTGGGGGCACTGCGGCAACTGGTGGAACACGGACCTCTGCCTCGAGCACAGAGGCTCCAAGCACGGCAATGGAGCCCTGCCCCTCAACCTCACGGGCACCGTCAGCCCCAGCGAAGAGTACTGGAGGTGAGGCCGCCGTGGGCCCCCGGCTGCCGGGCGGCCGGCGGAAGGCTGGTCGCCGGTTCTAACCCCGGCTCTTCCGTGACCAGCTGCGCACCTTACCCGCTATATCTGGCTTCTGATGTGGGTTTGGCCCTTGACGTGGGGGCGATGACAGTATTTCTGAGGGGCGTTATGAGGATTAGGGGAAAGAAGGGATGATCGTGCCGTCCAGCCTGTTGGATAATCTTGCTGAGTGAGTGCTGGCGGATCATCGTGACGCTGATGACCGCGGTGCAGGAGCCTTGCTGGCCGCGGCCTTACCCCATGTGGGTGGCGCGTGGCAGGGTGACCAGAGGACTCTCCGATCTTCATCCCGCACAGCCGCTATGTCCTCCACATCCAAGGCAGCCGCGGCATCGGCAGTCCCGGGGAGATCCGCTGGAGCCTCTGCCTCTGCCTGCTGCTGGCCTGGGTCATCGTGTTCCTCTGTATCCTCAAGGGCGTGAAGTCCTCCGGCAAGGTAAAGCCCTGGTGGCCCTAGGGGCCTGAGGCACTGGTAGGGGTGAGGGCTTCCTGGAGGAGGCAGGGCGTGGATTGAGCCTGAGAGGATGAATAGACTTAAACCGGGAAGAGGTTGGGGGCAGGGATGGGGGCGGGGAGGGGAGGGATTGGGGAGGGGGAGGAAGAAAGATGTGGCGGTAAGGACGGATGGTGGCTAGAAACTTGCCAAGGATAGGACCGATCTGTTACTCAAGTTTGTCCTAACCGAGTGCTTGGCACTTTGAAGAGGCTCCACGTGTGTTTGTCGAATGCTTGGAAGGTGGGTGTATGAGTCAGAGTTAACTGGCCAGAACCCAGGGGTCATACTCAATAGGAAAGTCTGGAGGGTGTGCATCAGGTACGGCTGGGTCCAGGGGTTCAAAGGATGTTGTCAGGAATTTGGTTCTCTTGGTCTCTCAGGAACGCTTTCCTCCAATTGGCTTCCTTCTCGGGCTCCATTCTTTATGGGGTTCCCCTTAGCAGCTTTTGCCTTCCATCTTACCTGCTTAGTGAAAGGTGGGACTTGCTCCGTTCTCAAAAATCCTGGAACTGAGTCTCACTGTGTAGGCTGGGTCTCGTACCTGTCCCTGAACCAGCCCCTGTGGCCAGCAGGGTGGGGTGCTCTGCTGGGCAGGGCCTGGGCAGGCGCCCCCCTCTGGAGCTGGGAGCGGAGTCAGCCCCAGCAAGGGAAAGTCAGGGGTCTGGGGTCTGGAGGAGCCCGATGGATGTGAGGACGCCAAAGCCACGGATGCCCACCTGCCATTATGAAGGGTGGGAAAGACCATGAGGCTGTTATAGAAAGACCTGGAAACCTTCCGAGTGGTTTACGCAATTATTTGTAAATTAGAACTTGTCCCTGCACAAAATTCTGGGGGGTGTTGCCTGCGAAGAACAGAACCAAAAGAAAGACTAGAAAGGTAGGGTCAAGACCAACGAGAAAGAGGGAAAAAGTAATCAGGGTGCAAGTCGGGGCAGTGACGAGCTTGAGACCTGGTGGCATTTGCTGAGGAAGTGGCCGGAGGTCTGGGGACAGGTGGAGGGGCATTTGGGAATGGCCAGTGGCTGTTGACCAGGCCGGGTGGGCTTGTCTGGGCTGGGGGCAGGGGGAGTGGATGCGTGGGCCCCCGTAAGCCAGGCTTCGGGGCAAGGGACAAGGGCGTCCTGGACTGGGACGCTGCAGAGCTGGAGAGAGTGGGTGGGTCAGGGACGCCTTGGGAAGCGGCGACAGGACTTTGCGGAGGGATCTGTGTGCGGGGGGAGGGGCGCAGGAAAGGAGAGAGAGGCTTCATTGGTGATGGCCCTTCTCTTCTCAGCCTACCCAAAGGCTGGGGAGGAGAGTTAGGTGACATGGGGATTTCTGGGAGAGGAGCAGGGTAGAAGGAAGGTCAGCCCTGCCCTCTCTCCCCACTTATTGTGCCTCAGGTGGTATATTTCACGGCCACATTCCCCTACCTCATCCTGCTTATGCTGCTGGTCCGAGGAGTCACCCTCCCAGGGGCCTGGAAGGGTGTCCAGTTCTATCTCACCCCTCAGTTCCACCATCTGTTGTCGTCCAAGGTGAGGCCCCTGGGGCTGGGGTGCGGATGGAGGGGTCAGGCCTGAGCCAGGGAGTAGAAGGAAGGAGCCCGGGGGTAGGAATCTTCCGTGTGGTGGGCCCCCACTGCCAGACCCTGGGCTCTGCTCTGTGCTCGACACTGTGTGTCTTTTCCATTTATTCTTCACCATCCTGCGAGGCAGAAGTTACTCCGGGGCTCGTAGCTGGCTCAGTCGGAGGAGCGTGCGACTTTTGATCTTGGGGTCGTGAGTTTGAGCCCCACATTTGATATAGAGAGTACTAAAAAAATATATACCTTAAGGGGCACCTGGGTGGCTCAGTCGGTTAAGTGTCCGACTTTTGATCTTGGTTCAGGTGGTGATCTCGTGGTTCCTGAGTTCGAGCCCCTTGTTGGGCTCTGTGCTGACAGTACCCGCTGACAGTGTGGGGCCTGCTTGGAATGATCTCTGTCTGCCCCTCCCCCACATGTGCGACCACATGCATACACTCTCTCTCTCAAAATAAATAAATAAAATGGAAGACATTATTCTCCCATTTTACAGATGAAGAAACTGAGACCCCAAAGAGTAATAAGCTTAAGGTCACAGGGAGTGGCAGAGCTGGAATTCCAACCCAGATCTGTCTGACTCCCAAAAGGAGGGCAGTTGTGATTATAGAAACAACGGTACTGACAGATTTAACATTTCTCATTTAATGGATGCCCGCCTGACCGTGCCCTAGCACTTTGCACATATGTGGTCATCGATCCTCAGCACCACCCTGTAAGGGAGCTCCTCTCTCTATCCCCTCATTTCAGAGGAGGGACCCGAGGCTCAGGGAGAAGACATGGCGTGCCTCAGCCATACAGCTAGGAAGTGGGGGAGCTAGAATCAAACCCAGGTCCCTCCAATCCAGGGAGGGATGAAAGGGGCTCCACGGGCTTCTTGTCAATGTGAATCTACTGAGAATTTACCTAAGACACTACTGCCTTCAGAACTGGACCGAGCTTAGCGATCATCTAGATCCTGGATGGGGAAATGGAGGCCCAGAGAGGGAAAGGGACTTAGCCCAGTCCTTCAGTGTGAGTGCTGGAGCAGGGTCTGCTCCCGGCCCATGTCACGTGTGTGCCAGGCTCCTCACCACGCCATCCCTGGGCCTGCTGACCTGCTCTCACACCGCCTCCTTCCTCCCCTTCTCTTGGCCCTCTGGACGCGGCGGGTGTGTGCCCTCTTCCCTTCTCTCTCCATCTGCATCCTTGCTGCTGCAGGTGTGGATCGAAGCTGCTCTTCAAATCTTCTACTCCCTGGGCGTGGGCTTCGGGGGCCTCCTCACTTTCGCCTCCTACAATACGTTTCACCAGAACATCTATAGGTCAGTGCCGCCTCGCAGACCCCGAGGCCCAAGCAGGGAGGAGAGTGGCTGGCCAGGGCGGGCCTCCCGGGGCACGGGCAGGTACAGCTCACTGTGGCCTGGACTTCTGTGCCCGGACCTCTCCCGGCAGAGACACCTTCATCGTCACCCTGGGCAACGCCGTCACCAGCATCCTGGCCGGCTTCGCCATCTTCTCCGTGCTGGGCTACATGTCCCAGGAGCTGGGGGTGCCCGTGGACCAAGTGGCCAAAGCAGGTGGGCGGGCCGGCCAGCCCTGGTGGGGGAGGGGGCGTGGGGGCCCCGCGTGGAGTGGCAAGGCTGCGGACGGGCATGTCCGGCGTGCATATCTCTGCGGGTCTCTGGGTGCAGAAGGGGGTGAGTGTTAACCTGAGTCTAGAGATGAATGAATTTCTGTGTGAGATTGTCTTATGCATGGTCACATCTTAGTAACTCGCCTTGTTTGTCCAAGTGAGTCATTTCCTGTGTCAAGATGTCTATGTGAGTGAAGTGAGGGTTCACATGAGGATGTGGATCAGTGTCTCGTGCCAGGGGATGTGTCTGAGTATGTGTGTTAGTGAGGTTGTTTGTGTAAGTGACGGTATACGTATGTTCGAGTGAGGTTTATACTGGGTCTTGTGTTTATTCGTGTACTAATTTTTAAAATTATTTTAGAGAGAGAGCAGGGGAGGGAAGGGAGAGAGAGAGAGAGAGGGAAGAGAGAGCGAGAGAGAGAATCTTAAGCAGGATCCACCCTCAGCACAGAGCCCGATGTGGGGCTTGATCCCACAGCCCTGGGATCGTGACCTGAGCTGAAATCAAGAGTCGGATGATCAACTAGCTGAGCCACCCAGGCGCCTCTCGTGCACTTATTACTAATGTATTTTATTAATTAATTATTAATTAATAACATTAATTAATAATTTATTTATTTCATCACTCTGTGTTTATTGAGCACCAACTGTATACTGGCCCGCATCCTAGGAGTTAAGTGTTGGAAGCGTGTGGCTAGCGTGCCCCTCTGGGTTTGGCTATACTGGCGTGCCAAGTGGCTGTAAGTGACCACATGTGTTTGGGTGTGTGTGTGGCGGCCTACCTCGTGCCCTAGGCTGCTGACTCTTCGTGCCCTTGGCCCAGGCCCCGGCCTGGCCTTTGTCGTCTACCCACAGGCCATGACCATGCTGCCTCTGTCGCCCTTCTGGTCCTTCCTTTTCTTCTTTATGCTCCTGACTCTTGGCTTGGATAGCCAGGTGAGCCGTGTTTGTGCTGGTGGGCCCCCTGTGGTGTGTGCTTGCGTCTGTGACGGGCGTGCACCAGTGTGTGTCCGTGTGTGATGTCTGTCTTTGTGTGAGATGTGTGACTGTGTGTGTGTGCACCATACCATCTGTGCACGAGGGTATGGGGGGGGCGGAATTCTGACCCCCCTCCCTCCCCCCAGTTTGCCTTCCTGGAGACTATTGTGACAGCTGTGACGGACGAGTTCCCATATTACCTGCGGCCCAAGAAGGCTGTGTTCTCGGGGCTCATCTGCGTGGCCATGTACCTGATGGGGCTGGTCCTCACCACCGACGTGAGTGGGGCTGCAGGGTGGGTGGGCGGCCAGCGGGGGGAGGCAGGGGCCGGCACCCACAGCAGGTCTGTGAGCATTCCCTGGGCTACCTGCTTCTTCCTGTTGAGGAGGAAGCCAGCCCACCCCCGGCCCCCTCCCCAGAGGCAGCTTGGTCTATGACCCAGAGCCCCGGCTTAGAAGTATGTGAGCCCTGGCTTCGTGCACTTGCTGAAGGACCTCAGGACAAGTAGCTTCTCCTCCCCAAGGCTGTTTCCCCACCAACAAAATGAGAGTCTATGTCTAGGCTTGGTGTGAGACTCAAGTAAGATGATGTGTCCAAAGGGCTTGGCAGGTAGACCGTACTCACCCTGTTGTCATCGTGCCGTCACCGCTGGCCTGGTGGCTTCCTGCCCCCTTCTTGCCTGGAGAAGGGGTGGCAGCAGGGAGCAAGGCGAAAGGGCCCCAGAGCTGTGCCTTGTGTTGCAGGGGGGCATGTACTGGCTGGTGCTTCTGGATGACTACAGCGCCAGCTTCGGGCTAATGGTGGTGGTGATTACCACGTGCCTCGCCGTCACCCGGGTGTATGGTGAGAGGGGCCGTGGGAGGCGGCGGTGAGGCTCCCCGCCCTGGGAGGACGGGTGTCTCCTCTGGAGCCCCCCCACCCTGCACGGGGTCCCTGGTCCCTGAGGGCCGGGGTCTCCAGTGGGGGCAGCTGGGGTGGGGGAGGGGCTGCCGGTGGGGCCATTCTCCTCCCCTCCCCTGTGCAGGCATCCAGAGGCTCTGCCGGGACATCCACATGATGCTGGGCTTCAAGCCGGGCCTGTACTTCCGGGCCTGCTGGCTGTTCCTGTCCCCGGCCACGCTTCTGGTAACGGGTGGGAAAGAAGGCTGCTGGGCTGAGAGTAGGGCCCCGCTCTGGGCATTCAGGCTGGTAGGGCTGCCCCGGCCAAGAGTGCACCTGTGTCGCGGCTGAGGGGTGGGTGGGCCCCAGGACCTTGGTCCACTCCCATCCCCCTGGATGTCCCCACCAGCTGTCGTAGCCATGCTAGGCCTGGCCCTACCTTTGGTCAGCAAAACGGGTGGGGTGTTCTCAGGCCACAGGGCCTTAGGGCTGGGGCTTTGGGGCTTCTGTGTTGCCGTGTGTCCGTGCTCTCTCGGCCTTGAACTTGGAGCGGTTCAGGCACAGCTGGGTGCTTCAGAGCTGGGCTGTCTCAGGCCTTCGGGTGGCGCAGACCGGGGCTGCCCCAAGCCCTGGGGCCCGCGAAAGCCCGCTGTGATGCTGGGGCCCCGCCTGCAGGCCCTGCTGGTCTACAGCATCGTCAAGTACCAGCCCTCAGAGTACGGCAGCTACAGATTCCCGGCCTGGGCAGAGCTGCTGGGCATCCTGATGGGCCTGCTGTCCTGCCTCATGATCCCCGCCGGCATGCTGGTGGCTGTGCTCCGGGAGGAGGGCTCGCTCTGGGAGGTAGGTCTGCCCCGCCCTTGTCTGCCCTTGGCCTTCCCGACCTGGGGCCGGCCCCGGGCCCACCTGCTAGAACAGAAAACGTCTGCACCGGCACCTTATCTGGGGCCTAGTAGGCCTTTCCAGCCAGTACCCTGAGCTGTGAATCCTGCTCGGGGTATGGCAGGCTCAAGGGGCTTCGGGCCCTGCCCGGTGGCCCCGGGTACCACTTGAGGCCTTTGAGGGGGGAGCACACCACTCCAAAGACCACCGATGTTGGCCTGTGTCCACATGTGTTGGGGAGAGGCCAAAGGAATGGTCCAGGGTCCCACTGTGAGCCAGGCGGAGGTCAGGACCTGAACTCCGGTCACCAGCCCAAAGCTTCCCTATGAAACTCAGGGTTCAGAAGGCAACATCAAGGGGACCCCCGGAGGGTGGCCTGTCACTCTTCTCCTTGAGTCAGCCCACGGGGGACCTGAGAATGGGCTGGTGGTGGGAGCCCTGCCCACACCAGGCTTTGTGAAGAGATCTAGAAAGCACAGAGAATGCAAGCGGTTTGGGCATGGGAGTCTGCAGGCCTCAGAAGAGGGGAGTGGGCCAGTGGGTGTGCTGGGATGCTGTGTGACCACTGCAGTGTCCTGCCCCTCTCTGAGCCTCATCGCAGTCTCAGGACTCCGAGGCCATGGGTGTGGAGTTCTCTGGCGGCAAGAGGCTGTCATAGTAAGCAGAGCTGAGTGAGGCTGCTGGGGCCTGGAGAGAGCCCAGGGACCCCCAAATATACCCGACATATCCCATCCGATGTGTGCTGGAGCCAGCTAGCACTGGTTCATAAGAGCTAATTGTTAAGTATTCAGGGATACCGTGAGCCAGTTGTGAAGCCAGTGATAACTTGAAATTGACCTTGGTGGGGTATTTACACCAGTGGAACTGGCTACAAATCAAGATTCCCACACCCTTCTAAGCACTGCCCCCAGCCTGCCTGCCAGCTCCCTGCTTCTCCCTCCCCCCATAGAGCTCCATGGCCCCACAGCTGTCCCTTACCCCTCCTTCATATCTCCACCTAGAGAGAGGCTCAGAGCCCTCCCCCTGTAGGAGTGGGTTGTGGCTGCACCACGCAGACCACAGGCCAGACCTGGAGTCCACCCACCACTCTGTCTCTAACTGCTGTGTGACTAGGAGCAAACCCCTCGCCTTCTCTGAACCTCAGAAGCCCCACCTGTACTTCTAAGGGGAACCTGCCTCCTTGCTTGACAGCCAGGGTGTCTGCAAAGGAAAGGAGGAGAGGGGTGTTTCTTAAGGTGGAGGGTTCCAGCCCCCTGGAAGTTCATGGTTCCCAAGCTTTGCTGTGCCTCCCTCCTGCCCTGAGCCCACAGCCACCAACAGCCAGGTAGAGGGCCATGTTGTTGTGGGGTGAGCACTACACAGGGCTCCTTGCCTGGCTCTGGACTCCCGCCTTCAGAAACCAGGGCTTTTAGCAGTTTCTGGGGTCTGCCTTTTGCCAGCTGTGTGACCCTAAGCAAGTTAACGCACCTCTCTGAACCTTGCTTCCTCTGTCCTTAATGTGCGGACAGTGATACCTAGCCATAAGGGTTGCTGTGAGAAGAAAAGAGGCTCACCGACATAGAGCTATGAGAAGCAGAGAAGCAGAGTATTTTAAGTTTAGGATGGACTCAGACCCCAGGATGCCCACTGAGTGACCTTGGGCAAGTCGACTGACCTTGCTGAACTTCACTTCCAGATACTATCTATGGGAGTAGGGGATGAAAGTCACAATGCCCCTTTCCCAAGGACACTGTGAGGATTGAAGAAGCCCACATTTAGCTTAGGGCTGGAACATGGTGAATGTTTTGTTCCACACCAGGGACTCTCACAGGGGTGATTTTGCCCTCGGAGGCCGTTTGGTAATGTGTGGAGGCATTTTGATTCTCGTAAGAGGATAGTGTGCACAGGGGAAGCTACTGGCCTCCAGCTGGGAGAGGGCAGGGCTCTGCTAGGCACCCTCCATGTGCAGAACAGCCCTTACCTAGGGACTCTGCAGGCCCAAATGTTCACGGTACTCAGGTCAGGAAGCCTTGGGCTAGGCACTAGTGTGCAGCTGGGAACAGATCTAAGTCCTTGCTCTTGGGGAGCTTGTATTTTAATGGGGGAGACAGACAATAAACAAACAGATACATGAAGGTAGTTGTAAGTGCTATACTAAAAAAATAATAAAACCAGTGAAAAAACCCCCCAAGTTTAGGAATAGAGAATGATGGAAAGTGGTATTTCGGCCAGGGTGGCTGGGAAGACCTCTGGGGGGCGGGGGAGGGGAGAGGCAGCACACTGGGGACAGACACCCGATCAACAAGGTGATCTACCTAGCTACTTTGAAGGGGAGAGCATTCCAGGCAGAAGGACAATCCGTGCAAAGGCCCTGAGGCAGGAGGGGCTGGCCTGTTTGAGGGCAGCAAGGGGGTTGGCGAGACTGGATCAGAGCAGGTGTAGGGAGAGGGAGAGTGGGCGGAGCTGACGTCAGAGAGGCAGACAGGGGCCGGGACATGGAGGCAGTGGTAGCACTTTGGGTTCCCTTCCAAGTGAGATGACAAGCTGGCAAGTTTCTGGGCAGTGGGCTGACATACTCTACAACAGCTCAGGAACTGTCACCTTGCTTTGAGTATGGAGCCGTGCTAGGCCCCCGGCCAAGGGCGCTGCACACGTTATCCTCCTTGAATCTGCACCCAGCAGGCTGCACTTAATGTTGGTGGTCCATTGGCCTTCAGGGCTCTGGGGCTCTTCTCCCTGCAGGGCAGGCAGAAGGCTTTGGGAATGAAGCCTGCAAAGGGAGGAACCCCAGAACGTCCAGACTTAGTCATTGTCTTAGTCACCTCCCTCCTCCCATGGAAACTGGAGCCTGAGAGGGAAAGGTCAGCAGAGTCAGAGCAAGGCCAAATGTTAGACATTTGGAGGCTCAGGACAGTCCTGTCCCGCTTCTCCTGGCTCAAGGCTCTTCCCCGAAGCTCCCAGCTCCTTAGGACTCAGCATTTAGGGCAAGGGCCCCAGAGTGGGCTCCTGGATCACAGTCTTTGCAGCCGCCATCTACTGGGCCTTACTCTGTTCCCAGCACCCTGCTAAGTGCCTGCGGGTGAGGGCATCGTGACCCCCAGCTTACAGAGGAGGAAATGAGCATGGAAGCTTAAATTCCGTGCCCCCAGGCCACCCAGCTTGTTAGAGCACAGCAGGACTCCCATCCAGGCATGTGACTCCTCCCCTGGGGAAGTGCTACCACACTCGCTCCCTGGGATTCTTGCAAGGACAGATCCGGGTGACGTGGTGAGGTCTCCGCCTGGTGCCGGCTCCAGGAGCACTCCACCACCAGCACCGGCTGTTTTCACCGCTCTCCTTGCTCTGCCGCAGCGGCTCCAGCAGGCCAGCCGACCGGCCATGGACTGGGGCCCGTCGCTGGAGGAGAACCGGACTGGCATGTACGTGGCCACGCTAGTGGGGAGCCAGTCACCCAAGCCACTGATGGTGCACATGCGCAAGTACGGGGGCATCACCAGCTTCGAGAACACTGCCATCGAGGTGGACCGCGAGATTGCCGAGGAGGAGGAGTCTATGATGTGAGACGGGAAGCAGGTGGACAGCCTGCCCAGCCGCAAAGGGCAGTTGTGCCCTGCGGGGTTCTTAGAGGCCCCGAGGCTGTGGGAGGTTGCCACGGCGATGCTGGTCCCCAGTGCAAGTCCTTTCCTGTGGCCTCTGCCTCTCCTCCGTCTACCTTCTCCACGCGCGTGCACAAACCCACTCAGAGCTCAGCCCTCGTTTCGCAGATGGGTGAACTGAGGCCAGGGAGGAGGGACTTGCCCAAGGTCACGTGGCGGAGGGGACTGGACAACCAGCTCCCTTTCTCATGTGGCGGGTGGCGGCATCTTCTCATGTCTGTTCAGGGCCCAGACTCCTCCCTTTTCTAGGGGAGCCCGCCCCATGCACTTCCAACAGCCAGAATCTGAGCTGGGCAGGGACCCTCAGGGCAAGGCAAGGCCCACGAGGCCCCAGGCATCATGGGTTAGCAAGTCAAGCGGGAGAAGGACCTCTGTGGGCTCAGGTGCCCGCCAGGTTTCCTGAAGGCCCTGGAGGGTGGGGCAAGTTGGGAGGGAGAGAGGAAGAGGAGGGCAGGGGATGGAGGCCCCCATGTAGCCCCTGTGCCTCCCCTCAAGCCCGGGGCAGAGACCAAGGTGTTACCAGGTTATAGCAGGGTCCAGGGGGACTGAGGGGGAGGGGAGGAGGGACTAGGGGTGGGCAGGGGTTTGCATGATCTGGTTATGCTTTAGATAGAATATCTTTCAGGGTCAGTGTGCAGGGTAGATCAGAGGGTACAGGGTGAAGGAGGCGGGCCTGTGGAGGGCAGGCAAGAGGGGCGGTGGCCTGAGTAAGGGGGTGGGGTGGGGAAAAGAGGAGGACCCCACACTTCCCTCCCACCCCCCAGAAAAGGGCCCACAGCTTCCCACCTTGGACCCCCAACCTCTGGTGTAGGGAGCCCTGGGCACGATAAGGACAGAGGACACAGGTGGAGAGGTGGCAGTGAGGGGTCCTAGTCAGGACCCCCAGCCTTTGCATCCCCTTCTCCCTGCCCTGGCGGCCCTCACTGTCTCCTCCAGCTCCAGGCATTGCTGGGAATTTGGCCTTGGCTATGGACGACCAAGGCAACTAAGAGTCTTGGAGATGGTCTGCATACGTGGCTGTCTGGTCCTGATGCTGCCCACCCTACCCTAGGACATGAGTCCCTGGGCCCAGGCATGGGGGTGGGGCCAGAGAGCCCAAGGCAGCTGACTCCTCAGGCCCGTGGCCAGAGGGCTTGCATCTTCAGTCCCAGGCACAGGAGGGGTTGTCCTGGGCGCCCTCCACCCCCGCCCCTGGTCACCTGATGAGAGTGGGGCCTGCGAATGCCTGAGTAGAGCTTCCGCACACACGGTGCTCCCCAGCGGGGCGGGGCACCCACGTGCAGCTGGGCCGGCCTCTGTGCCCGATCTTTCTCCTGCTGTCTCCCCAGCCCGTATGTGTTCCGTTGGTTTGTTGTCAATAAACACCAATGAGGTCATCCTGCTTATCCCTTCTTACTGCTGAGGACTGTGAGGTGGGCAGCATAGGGCTTTCCGGCTCCTGTTGGACAGATGAGGAAACTGAGGCTCAGCTGTTTGCTTCCCCGGGTCTCCTGGAGCCTTCCTCTACCATTTTGCTATGGCCATGGTAGGTGGGTGGGCTGAGGAAGGGTGGTGAAGATGAGGAAGCCCTTGAAGACAACTTAACCCACATTATTACATATAGGCAAACTGAAGCCCACCCAGGGGAAGATGCTCAAGATTCCCCTTTCCCCAGCTACTTCCCCGCCTTACCTGCAGGTGTAGCTGGGGCTAGAAGACCAGGGTTGGGAGGAGCCCAGAGTTTCCCAGGCTGGAAGAATTTCCTGATGCTAACCCCCACCGCCCCTGATGGACCTTGTCACATAAAAGAGTCCCAGGGCCTTTCAAATGCTAAGCCTAGGTGTTTGCCAAGGCTTTGATTGGGGGTGGGGAGGAAAGGCTGCTGCATATTTCGGGATATTAATAAACTCCTGCTAACAAAGGGCCAGGCCCTCTCCTGCCCCTCTTTAGGGCTCTAGGTGGAGGAAAAGTGGTGGGTTTGCTAATTTGCTGAGGGTGCAAGAATGGCCTTCAGGGTTCAAGGTACCTCTTCCCACACCCTAGCAGGCAGACCTCCAGCCTTGGCCTTGCTAACAGAGGCCCTGGAGCCAGCACCGTGGCCCCATCCCAGGAGGACATGCTCTCCAGGCCTTCCCTGCTCTCTCTAGGACAGACCCCAGGCTGCGGGCCAGAGTCCTGTGAGTTCTCCTCGCCCAGCCTTGGGTGCAGCCTGGGGTCCTGGGAGTCCAGAATGGGCGATCCTAGAAGGCCAGGTTTCTCTTCTCCCAGTCTGGAGAATTCCAGGAGTCTGTGGAGCCCATGAGTTTCACACCTCCGGGACTCACTTCCCCTGCCTTGCTTCCTCCGCTCCCCTTCTCCTTGCTTCTGGGCCCCATCTTCCAGTCTGTCCTGCTTGTGCCATTTCCGCCCCTTCTAGACAGCCTCCAGTCCCGCCACGTCACCCTTCCCCCGCCTCTACCCCCAGCCCCAACCCCCAAACGCTCCCTGCCCCATTCCTTGATTGACTTCGGGTCTCTCTGGCTCAGAACAGGCTCCAGCCAGGCTGACTGCAGTAGGAACTGATTGGAGACCAGGGACCCCCCCCCCCCACCCCGCTAGAGGGTCCCGTGGCACTTAGTGGGCAGCTCAAGGAAGACCTTGGCCCTAGCCGGAGTAGAACCCCAGCCTGGCATCCCAGAGTGCCCTAGCAGGCGACAAGCCAGTGCCCGTAGAGCCTGGCAGGCAGGGAGGTGGGGTGGGGGAAGCCTTAAGTATGCACATGAGAGTGAGTGCTGGCTGACCCTCCACATCCATCGCAGAGCCTGGAGAGTGGTGGGGACCATGAGGCACTAGAGAACAAGGCATCACTCTCTTCAGGGGAGGCTGACCCTCAGAAGTAGGGGCCCCGGTTGCTGGATACCCCGGCTTTTCAAGAGAAGTTGGAAGTTGGGATTTTGGTGAGGAATTTCCCATTTTTAAACATGAGCACCTGACTGGAAAGAAGTGTGACACGGGGTAGCTCCCTTAGGGAGACTGACAGGCCCACTGTTCTGCAGAGGGAGGGGGTTAGCAGGGCTGTGTCCTGTGGTGAGGATGTGGCGGAACAGAGGCCAGGTTCCGGATCCTCCCCCACCCCTCCTCAGCTCTCTGCTCTGCTTCTCAGCTGATGTCTGAGTCCACGGACCCCTGACCTGGGGGTGGCTGGTGGGAGCCCCTGGGAGGCAGCGTATGTGTCTGGCTCAGGTGTTCTGAGGGTGCCCTGGGGCCTGTCATTCCTCTTCTAGGAATGTTCTAGAACTCCTCAGAGATGGTGTTCTCTTGGGGGGCACTGGGAAACGCTAAGATGGGGTGCCGGCCACCCGCAGTCACTTCTAGTTCCAGTCTACCATCTGTGAGAGCAAATATCTGGGAGGCTGAGGGGGAAAAGGAAGCAGGGGATAGGGCTCACCATTTTCCCAAAGTCAAGTGAGGGTCAACAGACAACACGGAGGTCACACTGGGTACCTTGTGTTTGCTTCTCAGTAGGCCCTGACCCCTGTGCTCCCTTCCACCGCCGCAGCCAAGTTCACCTCGCATAGTGCCCTGAGCAGGCCCAAGCTTCCTGATCCGGAGTCTTCCCCATTCACCCATGGGACTCCTATCCATCCTCTTAGGTCTGTCCTCCGTACCCCCTCCATTCCCCAGAGGTGGGCTCCTGGCATCTGCAGTGACCTGGCTCAGCCCTACACCTGGTGAGCCCTGACGGCCATCCTGGCCTGCGTGGGGAGCTCACGCCTCCAGGGACAACCCACTTCATTTCTCTGCACTTAAGACGCAGTGCTCTCCCTGGGGCCCAGGGCACTTGGACTGGGGCAGGGCATCATGGTGGGGGCCGGTCTGCTCAGCCACACAGACCTGGTTCATGCCCAGCTCTGCCCGTCCCTGGCTCTGCGGCCTTCAGGCCCCCACATCAGCTCACCACTTTGCACAACACAGCAGCAACTGACAGCAGTGTGTTGGCAGCTCTGGGGACAGCCAGCAAAGAGTTAAGGCGGCCCCAGCCCCTCTGAATTTCACGTGACCCTGGCCTACCCAGCCTAGGGTTCTGGTTCTGCGGTGGACACTCTTCTCCAGACTCATTTTTTTGCTGGTGGCTCATGGAAAATTTGGCTCCTTGAGCTCTAGGCCACTCCCTCTGGGGCCTGAGGCCTCGCTGACGCTGGCCCTGCCCTGGAAGGGCGTCTAGGGCCGCCTGTCTGCCCTCGGATCCTTGGCCAGCACCCCCCTGCCTCGCCCCCCCTCACCTCCTCTGTCTCCGCCTGACTTCCTGCTGCCTGACCTTTTCCCCCAGGACAGAACAGCAGCCAGCCCCCCTTGGCCACACCGAGGCCTCCTCCTGGCACCCCATCCAGCCTCACTCTTTCTATATGAGGGAAAGAAAGCCTCTTCCCGCTGACGGCTCACAACATCTGTGAGACATATCCCTTCGAGAACTGTAGTCGAATGGGAACCAAGGCAGGCTTGGACTCTGGCAGTCAGAGCCCAGTCTTGACTCAGCTGTCCACTGGCTGGACCACCCGGCTGGGTATGCGCTTCATGTCCCTGACCTCCAGGGTCCTAACCCTCAGATGTGAGATGAGAACAATGGCTTCCCTCTGCAGGAAGTGAAATGGGATAATATAGGTGCTCAGTGCATAGTTTTAAAAAAGTGATTGTTGCCTAGTGCAGCATGCCCGCAGGTGGGATGGCTCTGACGAGTCTTAGTTCATGTACTAAGAACAACAAGAAACTGAGGCCCAGCTCCTGCCTCCAACCAGCAGAGGGAGAAGGAGGGTGGGGATTGGTGTGCTTGGAGCCAGGGTCAGGCAACGATGGAAGCGCATGGGCGAGCGGGTATCTCTCAGTTCCATGGCAAGGTGCCCTGGAGGCTGGGCCTCAGTGTCCCCATCTGTAAAAAATGAATGGGTTGGAGAGCCACAGAGGGAAGCGGTGCTCATTCCGGAGCTGGATTCCAGGACTGGCCCCTCTTGCTGGATGGAGTTAATGATTAAGAACTCTGATGGCCTCGCCAACGGCCTGGGAAGTGCTGCCCGGCCAGCAGGAGGTGCAGATTCAGGGTGAGTGTCTGTAGGGCGGCGCTAACATCCTCTAGGCTCTGAGGCTCACTTTGACCTTGACTCTGTTGACCCAGGGTCAGGGTCTCACAGAGTTTCATGGATCGGGGTGGTGGGAGGCAGGGTCAAGGAAGGGGCCAACGGTCAATATTGATCTAGCTGAGTCAGGGGAGCTGATGGGGAAGCAGCAAGGCTGGGGTGGGGCTCACTGATAACTGGTCTTCCAGCTCCCAGCGTGGCTGTGGGAACAAGAGAACGGGGTGCTTGGTGCAGAATTCCCAAACTGAGTGCTTATCGAAACGACAGCCGCCTAGAAGCCAGCTCAGGCTTAATGCATCCTGTCCTCTGCGGGAAGTTCTAAACATTTGTATTTTTAGCATATTCCCTGGGTGACTCTGCACAGTCAACTTGGTTTCCATGTTGGGGACTGTAGGCTCAACCCCCTGGTTGTAACAACAAGAAACATGAGGTCCACAGAAAGAAAGTAACTCACTCAAGGACACACTGGGAGAGAATGATGACAATTCCCCCTTTTTTCTTGGGCAAAGAGGTAACCTCCTTCTAGATAGCTCAGCTGTGGCCCGAAGCCCGGGAAAGAATGGTGGGGCCAGGATGCCCAGAGGAAAGTGGCTTCTGAGACCTTGGTGGGCCCAGGTAGGGAAGGGAGGGTGGGGCATGTCGCAGGAGGAAGGACAAGGAGAAGGGGCCATTCCCACAGGACTGGCCCTGCCCCGCCCTCCCCTGAGCAAACACTCGCAGCACCTGCTGGGGAATGTTTCCTAAAAGATTTACTATGGCCCCGTCTGGGGAAGACCATTTCCACTGCGGAGGACCTACCTGTGCCCTGGAAAAACACACCCACATCAAGGGAGATTTGGGACACACTTGGCACTCTGACACCCTGGCCCCCACAACCTTCTCCCTAGCCCCTCCTCTCCCCACCCTTACCTGATCCACTGTGTTGGGCTCTCGGCCTTTGCTCTGCCCTCCACCCTCCCCACCACTTCACCCTGTGGGGGCATGTGCCCAAAGCCTCTCGGGCAATCCCAGTCACTGCTGTGCTTCTCCTCCTCTGTCTTCTGGCTCTGTACACTTCACACCTCCAGGTCCAGCCCTCACCCCAGCTCGCCCTGCATTCTGCTTCCCTGCATGTCTCTCACTCTTGGGATGGCCTCTCTGAGGACAGGAGACATGTCCAGCTCAGCCCTGGGCCCCACGCAGAGCCCAGCTGGCTGCAGCAGGTGTTTGGAGGAGCTAAGACCCCAAAACCCACCTCCCTCCCTCACACCTGGGGCCATCCGAGCCAGGTTCCTTCCCCTCTGCGCGATGGTCTCTTTGTACATGGATGAAAAGAAGGGGAATGTAGTGCCCAGTGGAGGGGCAGGCTGAGGACCCTGAGAGCCCAAGAGTCAGGCGTGCCCGGTACCTGGTGTAAAGTAAGACTTCATCATCGTTACTGCAGAAGTGGGTAGGTGGGTGGAGAGCCCAAGCCCCTGCACCAGCCATCCGTCCGTCACTCCCACAGCACACATTGGCCAGGAGTGTACGCTGTGCAGGCATGATGATATCCCTGTGCGCATGCGGAGCAGGGACAAGACACTGTCCTGCCTTCACTGAGCGCTCGGCTTTGCAGACTCCTCCTTAGGTGACTTCAGCCCAGAGCACTATGATGAGGCTGGTGCAGGGGTTGGGTAAGCCCCCAGAGGGCCCTAATGCAGCAAGTGCTGGGAGAGTGTGGGGCAGGCGTCCCCGAGGAGGAGAGACCAGGAGACACCAGAGCTGTGTCCTGAAGGGTGAGGGAGCATTGCTGTGCACTGAGCAAGAGGAGGGGAGCCAGAGAGTCTCCTCATAAGTGGGCAGTGGGGAGGTAGAGACTGCGGAGGGACAGATGGTCACAGACAGGGGATTCCTAAGAATCCCAGTCACAGTTAGCTGGCTGTTCAGAGACGGGGAAACACAGACTGGGTCACCAGAGGCCCCTGAGGGATTCCGGGTTCTGTCTGCCAAGAAGTCTTTTACCCTCTGAGCCTCATTGTCTTCGGGATAGGGCTCTTCTAACTGACACAAGGGGAATTATGAAAGCACTTTGTGAGCCATCAAGGGTCACGCTCCTGTCAGATAATAAGAGTGTTTTGGGTGGAATGGGTACTTTTTGAGTTAAAGGATAGATAGGGTTTGAGGTCTACTGGGAGCTGGAGGCACTGGGCCCAGGACGGCTGGAACCTGCTCCTGTGCTGCCACCTGCTGGCGAGTGTCTGCAATGGCAGCACAGGCCCTCCGGCCCTTCCTCCTGCTCAGGTGGGGAGATCCCAAGGCCGCGTGAGGGTGGAGCCCAGAGAAGCCGGGGCACTAAAGGGTTGCAGACTCCAGGGCAAGAGTGCAAGTGGAAGGCCCCACATCTCCCCGCAACCCACCAGCTGGCCCTTCTCAGCACACACCCCGTGGCCACTCTGCATACTGGCAGTGAGGATAGATCCCAGGAGTGGCTGGTATAGGAACTCTGGAGTCCCAGACGCCCCAAGCAAGGTCTAGAGGGCACTGTGGGCTCCAGAAGGCACATTTCCCTGACCCTGTGGAGTCCAGGCTTCTTAGGTGGCAGCGTGGCTGAGAGTGATCAACTCACCTGGCTTGCCTGGGACCAGCCCCAGGTTTACTACCGAAAATCCTATGTCGGCAAGCCAGGACCCGGTAGTTACCGTGTCGTGGCCTTGAGGAGAGCCAAAGCCTCCTCCTGCAGCCTGGACTCAGAACCAAACTGGCCTCTAAGATAGCAGGCGCCTCCCTTCAGCCAATGAAGCCTCTCTCTCCCCAGCCCCAAGTCCCCTGCCTCAGGCATTTTTTAAAAATATTTTTATTTATTTCTAGGAGAGAGAGAGAGATGGCGTGAGGGGTCCGAGAGAGAGAGGGAGTCACAGACTCTGAAACAGGCTCCAGGCTCTGAGCTGGCAGTCAGCACAGAGCCCGACGCGGGGCTCAAACCCACGAACCGCGAGATCATGACCTAAGCGAAAGTCGGACCCTTAACCGACTAAGCCACCCGGGCGCCCCCCTGCCCCAGGCATTCTGTCCACAGCTAGTGTGCAGGTATGGGAGGTATTTCTCCCCTTACCCCTTTCTCCAAGCCCGTTTCCAGGACTTTTGTGGCCTGGGGGCTTGTCTGTGAGGTTCAGCTGAGGGAAGAGAGTAAGTGGGAAGGTGAGGAGGGGAGGGACTTCTGTAACAGCCTAGGAGGAGGAGACCCTCGCCCAAGCCCCTGAGGGAAGACTTTGCTGCTGGCTGTTTGTGGCATCTGTGTTCATCACTCCCCCCTCTTGTTAAGGGCACCCTGTGTGTCTGAGAGAAAGCCAGCCCCACCTCCCGGGGTGCAGGGTCCAGGCACAATCCCTCTGCAATTGGCTCAGGCTTGAGCATGAGACCACGTTGGACCCTTCAGAACGGAGACCTTGGCTTTCATTTTGCGAATGGAGAGAGATCTTGAACAGGAAACAAATCAACCAAACCCACCCAGTGCCTGGGTTAGACTGAGACAGGGAGACCTTGGTGCACAGAAGTTTGTAGCTATTTATTGCACTGAAAACACCAATAAAACAGACACCCCTTTCCCCCCCACCCCCACCCAATAGCAGAAGTTTTGAGCAGTGGTCATTCAAATTCACAGCCACATAGTTTTAAAAAAAAGAAAAGAAAAGAACCGAAACAAACCCCCCAAACAAATAGTAACAAAGAAACCAGCATGGGGAGTCTGGCAAACACATCCCCCAAAGGGTCTCCCTGCGGGAGACAGGAGGCCGTGGGGTGGGATCAAGGGCCACAGTGCGCACAGCCCTGGGAGAATACTTTCCCATATAGGTGTTTGCATGCTGGAGCCTGAGTCTGGTCTCAGGTCTGGATTTTTTTTGCATCTACAGGATGTTTTAGAGGAGCAGAGTCTCACTGACTGGTGGGGGTGGGCTCTGGGCCACTTGGTCCGCCAGCCTCCCCTGCGTGCTGCCTCAGGATCAGGCTGATTGATGCCCTGTGGTCCACACTGGCTGACAATCCGTGCACAGAAGTGGCCTTCCCCGTGGGGCCATGTCCTCCTGGGGTCAGGGACTGGCCTCTGTTTCTCTGGCGTTCGGAACCAGACACAGTAGACAGGAGGCATGTCAGCAAGTAAAGATCGGGATATTGGGGTCCTCCAGCTCAGTTACCCCTGGTGGGAAAACCCAGGGCCAGAGAGGGAAAAGGACTTGCCCAGGGTCACACAGCAAGTCTGGTCAGAACCGGGGATGGAATCCTACTAACCCCCAAAACGTGGCTCTTTCCTCACAGTCCACTGCTAATAAACAGTTGACAGGCACCAAAGAGGATAACGGGGGGCAGGCGGGGGAGCGGTGAGGGGCTGGCCAAGGCATCCAGCCAGTGGATCCTGTCTGTTCCTGCAGGTATATTGGTCTTCACTTTGCCATCCTGTTTGATCCCCCGTCAGCCCTGCGACATTGGCTTGGCAGGAATATTTAATCCTTTAACTGATGGGGAAACTGAGGCTGGAACAGGGACCAGACTTTGTCTTGGCACTTGCAGCATCCCCTGTGAAGGCTGCACCCTCACCCGTGGCTGAGGGATGGCTGTGGGAGCTGGCAGCTCACAAGGGAGGCAGGCGGTTTTGTTGCTGGGATGCTGGGATCACTGGGCCGTACTGGGAAGCCCTCCGGACTGGGGGCAGACCGAGGGCCTGCCCCTGGGCCTCGGCAGTGGGGTGTCTGCCAAGAATAGAGGCCAGTGATCAACCAGTTTAGAGACCAGGAGGCCCAAGCAGCCTCCTTCCTGGCCTGCAGCCCCAGAATAGCCTGCCTCACCTGTCCCCAGGGCAGCAGCAGTCGTGCAAAGGGCCCAGCACACAATTCACAATCAGAGAAAACTCAGAAAGTCCTAGATCAAACACCCCCCCCCACCCCTCCAGTCCTCCAGCTAACACTCAGGACTCCCCAGAGGTTTGGGGGGAGCCCGAGCCTCCTGCAAATCCCTGGGGGTGTGGCTCTTCCTCCCCTAAAATCCTCCAGAGGGGACAGTATCTCATGCTGGCAAAACACGGCCACACAGAGGCCAAAAGCACAGAGAGGCGGCAACATAATTCCGAGTCGGACACTGAGAATACAACCTCTATTTTTTTTTTTTTTGTCCAAAACATGTAGATTGGTTTTGCTGAGTATTTTTTCTTCTTTTCTTTTTTTTTTCGACATACTTACTGCATATAAAGTCATGCAAAGAAAACAATGCAGACAGTAAGAACCTAGTGGATGTGCCAAGGCTTTCCACATCAGAGTCAGTCCCGGGGGGGGAGGGGGAGAGGGAAAGAGGAAGGGAAAGGAAGAGATTCGAACCCATGGCTGCGGGACGAGGCGTGAAGAGGAGAAATCCCAGCGCTCTGCTTGGACCAGCAGGTGCGGAGGGGAAAGGCAATGGAGACACATGCTCATGAGCCCCAGAGACTGGGGGAGGGGGGAGGGCACACAGAGGCAGTAGGGTGAAGTCCTGGGAGGCTGGGAAACATCGTAGTGGGGACCTCAGTTTGGGAGGCAAGCAAAAAAAAAAAAAAGAAAGATATTTCCGTCTTGACAACCTCCCCCCACTCTCTCTGCTCTGATTTGCTATTTCTTAGCATTAACATCTGGTGTTTCTCAGTCCTGAAAAGGAACCTTAGGACCAAAATGTCAACAAGGCCCTCTTCCCCTCACCTCCTGCACCCCTCCATCCCCTGGGACTCAGTCCACCTCAACCTCAGATAACCACAGGTGACAAAGTCCATCTCAGAGATGACATTAAAAAGAAAAAAAAAAAAAGACCTAGAACAGAAAAAAAACTACCCCTCATCCCTCCTCCCACATCCCTTCCCAACCCAACCCAACCTTCCTCACAATAATTTGAGAGGCTTAGTTATCACATAAATATCCATGAACGCAAAATCCATTTAGGAAACACACAGAAGTTTGGCTATAAAAAGGCATGCGGTCCAAGTGGAAGTGATACCTAAACGTTGCCTTCTTTGCCCCCAAAAAGCAATCAGATTCTCTCCCTCAGATGTGACGGAGCTGGAATTCTCCAGGGCTGATGGAGGGGTGGAATGGGCGTTACTGTTGGAGGTGAACATCAGCCGGAGGAGAAGAGTGAGGGCACCCTGAGACGATCGTGCTCCACACGCTGAGGGGAAGGGTCCGCGGGGACAGAAGACGGGACAGGATGGGAGAAGGGCTAGGGAGGCAGTTTTGTTGCTGGGATGGGTGGGGGGGAGCTCCTGGTGTCTGCTCCCCTCTCACCCTCTCCCACAGGGGAGGCTGGCTCAGGGGTTGGGGGGACCCTGGAAGAGGGGAGTCAGGGAGATGGTGGCAGATGCCACATTCCTCCTGATTCCACCCCTCTTTTTCCTCAGCCCCTGGGGGACGCACAGCTGGGCATTCTGGCCTATAGCCAAGGCAAGAGCAGGCTCACGGCAGCCAGGAGGGGGAGTCCTTGGAGCCAGCACCCAGGGCACCCAGGGCACCCAGGCCTGAGGAAGCCCCGGCCTGGCAGGAGACGGAGAGTGACAGGTGGTGGCAGGGAGATGTGGCTATTTGCTCTGAAGTCGTGATAGCTTTTGTGAACAGTCAGGTTTTCTTGACGCAGGTGTGGCGGTGATGGTGGTGGTGGTGGTGGTGTGGGGTGACGTAATTGGGGGAATTCCAGCACAATCCAAGTGGGAGAACCAGCAGCCACATTCCATGAACGAAGAGAAAATCTCTGCAGTACGGGGCCCCCAGCCCGGTCCTTCAACTGTAAGAAACAGTATGCGTGGTGGGTAATGCGGTTGCTTCCGAGGCAACCACCCTCTCCCCGTACTTAGATGGAGTTGGAGCTGCTTCCTGTGGGTCCCACCCAGCTTTAACCCTCCTAATCCCCCCCCCCCGGGGACCTGCAGAGTCTTCCCTGTGGTCCTCCAGCCCCTACCCCATGGTTTTCCAGCAGCCGAGTTCCCCCCACACGTCCCCCTCCAGGCAGACACCACCTCCTTCCTTTAGATTATCCCAGATGACAGATGGCGGCAAGCAAGGAGAGGCTCTTACTGGGGCAAGACGGAGGGCGCCCCAGATCTGTGGAAGTGCACAATTTGCCATTTGCCATCCCGGCGGTGCCACACTCGGGTCTCCTCCGACTGGGCCGTGCGGGGGATGCCACCCGCATCCAGGTACTGCGTGATGCGGATGTAGGCGATGCAGGCCGACTCGTCGCCCATCAGATGGATGTGGGGGTTCAGGATGGTGGTGTGCACGGGCTTGCTGTTCCGGGACCACACTGGAGGTGGGGGTGGGAGGGGGCAGAGGAGATGCACCTGGGGGCCTTCTTCACTTCCTTCACGAGCCCGTCTCCCAGCGACCCTCTCGGCAGAGGCACCCCCCACCCCACTGCTTCATTTCCACAGGAGGGGTGTCTGGGACAGGGCTCAGCTAGGAGTCAAGGCAGAACTTCTAGGTGACTAGATCAGATCCCAGCTTACAGACGCTGGGTTTCAGGCATGCCAATTCTTTAAACACGGGGGAATGGGATTTTTAGAATCACAGTATCTCAGACACACAGAAGTTTAGGACTCTGATTGGAGAATCAGATGAACTTAGACGAGGATCTCAAGCCCAGAGTCCCTACAGAGGCCAGGCAAGCACATAAATGAGGCTGGTGAGCTGGGTGTAAGATGCTAAATGACAACAGACTCTGCCTGAGCCAGGGAGCCGTAGGGGTGGTGGAGACTGGTGACCCCATATCCCACCTACAGAGGGCGCCCTGTACACAGCTTCCCTGGTGGTTGATGCATGAGTATGGTTGACCCCTGAACAATGGGGGCGGGGTGGGGGTGGGGGTGAGGGCACCCACCCCTCTGTACTGTTGAAAATCTACATATACCTTTTGACTCCCCTAAAACTTAACTACTAATAACCGTCTGTTGACTGGGGAGCCTTACTGATAACGTCAACGGTCGGTTAACCCATGTTTTGTACGTTATTTGTCTTATAATAAAGTAAGCTTGGGGAAAGAAAATGTTATTCCTTAATAGGGAAAAGGCAATACATTTACTGAACAGTGCTTTTTTGGGAAAAATGTGCGTATAAGTGGCCCTGCACAGTTCAAACCCATGTTGCTAACGGGTCAGCTGAAACTGGTACCCAATTTGCCATGCCTTCTGATTTTTCGAGAGAATCTAGAAATCTGGGTTTTTATGTGAAAACGCCTCATTTTTTATTATTGACATTTAATTCAAATTTAAAACATCATGCAAACCGCATGAAACATATGTACAGTCCAGATACATGGCCTGTGGACCCCTCATTTGCCAACCTGACTGGCAACAGAATGGAAATCTGGGTAATAGTCAAACTGGAGAATCTTAGGATCTTTGAATTGTAAGGATGGAATTAGGGGTCATGGGGTGAGGTCATGGAGTTCTCCAGAATCTGGTGGGCATGCGGAACTCTCGTAATCGTGCCAGAACTGAGAAAGGTCCCTCAAACCAGCTTTTGTCGGGGCGCCTGGGTGGCTTAGTCGGTTAAGCGTCCGACTTTCGCTTAGGTCATGATCTCGCGGTTCGTGGGTTCGAGCCCCGCGTCGGGCTCTGTGCTGACTGCCGGCTCAGAGCCTGGAGCCTGTTTCAGTCTGTGACTCCCTCCTCTCTTACCCTCCCCTGCTCACACTGTCTCTCTCTCTCTCTCTCTCCTAGAAATAAATAAGAACATTAAAAAAAAATTAAAAAAAAAAAAAACCAGCTTTTGTCTGCACAATATGAGCTACTGTTGTTATTATTATTATTGTTATTATTAGTAATTATTTTGGTTCTGGGAACTCTCAACTTTTTTTTAGCAAGATAGAAAAAACAAAAGCACAGAAAGACAATGACCCCGGGAGGGGCTGGACAGGGGTCACCAGGGTCCCAGGCTCCAGAACTTTGAGTCACTGAGTCTTACACAGGAAGACTAGACTGATAGACTGTTAACAATGTGGGGCTCTCTGAGAGATTGTAGAGCTTTTGCTTTATAGGCTTAGGCGTGAGGTCAGAGGTCACCCAGTGGCCCTCCTACAAATTGCAAGGGAGCCACCCAGTGGCCCTCCTACAAAATGCAAGGGAGCCTCTTCAAGCATCCTTGACAGCAACCAGGGCTGGAGGTGGTCCGGACCGTCAAGTTCAATGCATCCACTTAGCACATCTGGAAGCTGAGGTCCAGAGAAGCAATCTGACTTGTCCCAAGCTGGGCTGCTTTCTGAAGGAAACACAGTAGGAGCCTAGAAGAAGTCAGTCTCCAGATGGGACTGAATTAGGACAATCAAGAACCATCTCAGAAGGGACAGACAAGCTCAGCATTGTTGAGGGCTCTGGGCTTTGCTGTTGTTGGCAAGGGTTGGGGTTCTGGGGGACATTTGGAAAGAAATGACCACCCTAATTTGGTGTCTCTGAATAGACCATAGCCTTCTACCATTCCCCTCTGTGGGTAGCAGGGGAGGAAGGACCAGGTGCGCCAGTACCCCCAGGGAAAAACAGGCCGGATGGTGAGACGTGGCGGTTACTCCGGGACTTGCTCTCATGGGCCCTTTGGCATTCAAATTTGCAGCCTCGGGGCCCCGGTGCTGTGGTGGGGGGCCCTGCCCAGACGCAGGCCAAGAGCTAGTTCAGAGGACAGACCTGTATAGAGGTGGCCATGGTGATCAGCGAGGGAGCCCCCGGGGAGGGCGACACTTGGGGTCCAGCCACCTCTCTTCACCTGAGAACTTAACCTCCATTGCTAGCCTTGGAATATTGGAGTTTGATTAATCAAGGGAAAATGCAGCTTCCTTCTTTGCAGCTTTTTGGGGGAGCTCTTGAGTCCTTACTCTGTAAGATATGGTTGGATTGGGTGCAGGCAGGAGGGGACTGTCTGGCTGGGGGGCCACTAACACATAATTGAGAGGGGGAGGCACGGGGCAGGAAAGGGAAGGAGTGACTCAGGACTGGGCTCTGCCACTGACTTTCTGGGTTCCTTCGGATGAGTCATATCCCCTCTCTGGGCCTCAGTTTCCCCTTCTGGGTGTTGAAGAGATGGACTAGATCCTTTTTCAGTCACTTAAATGCCGCCTTTGGTTTAGCCATCTACAAGTGCCACTGTACTGACTTCATTAAAATATTTCCTTAAACCAATACACTTAACCAATTTGTGTCAATTTATTATAAAAGAAAGCGTTCTAGCACAGTCAGTAATGAACAACCAGTACCACAGAGCACAGTTTTAATCGTGAGTCCAACGTAAATGAAATCAAGTTCTGTAATCCTAGCTCCACGCTCTCGCCTGCCAAGGATCTGAGCCTGAGCCTGTTGTCTCTTTGATGAAGACGTAGGGTGTTAGAGGGAGATGTTTGAGACTAGCACCCGGCTGAGCCTTTCCCCCTGATGAAACCAGACGTATTGGAAGAGAATCTAGGAAGGGACCAACCTTTTTACTGTGTGAACCCATGCTCTATCGAGTGGTGCCTGCATGCACGAAAACCATCTTGGGAACCCTCGGCGGCATATGCCTGACCTTTGGGGTACCCCAGATCTGCTGCCTCTCAGGTCCTGGGCTAGGTGAGTCTAACCTGCATGTGCTTTGGTTTGCCCCTGTCTGACCCCTGGCCAAGATGAGACGTGGACACAGGCAGAAAGCGCCCTACGTCAAGGCCCGGCCTCAGCCTCCTGACAGCCCCTGGTTGCAAAGCTGCCAGGGCCTCTCCTGCAGAGGAGAGGCCCGGGAAGGACAGACACACGGACAGAGACCTAGACAAACAGGCAGGGGCACAGCAGTGTGAGCTCGGGTCCCCTCCTCTTCCCTGTACTGCCCGCCCACAGGCGTTAACAGCCCATGAACCAGCCTGTGACGGGCCGGACAGCTGGGGTGGCCCCGGGCACCTAGATGGCTGTGACTCGGGTACATGCTCTGGCAAGAAGGCTCCCGTATCTGTAAAATGGGTATAAAGGCCCTCACCGCACCCTCCCAGGGGCAGGGCAAGAGAGGGCTGGGAGCGCTTATGCCACTTGTCCCACGTCCCCATCCTCAGCCACAGGAGGGACAGCTGGCAGTCAGATGGGCCCAGGTTATGAGAGGGAACCAACGTGGTACCAACCCCTGTCCACACGGGATCTTCCTCTTCGCTGGCTCCTGAGCTTCCCCAGGGCCCTGCCTGTCACCCTGCTGTGCCATCCGGCAGGACATGGAACGGAGAGCAGACAACAGGCACCCCAGAGAGAAGGGATTGCTCACGGTTTTCAAAATAGAATCGATGGAAGTCCAGGCCCTCGACCAGGTTCCCCAGGGCCTCAGGTTCGAAAGCGGTCATCCCAGGGTCACACATCTTCCTAGAGGGAGGAATCCGTCAGAGGAAACGGGAGTCAGGGTCACCTCTGGAGGCCACCCTCCAACTCCAGGGCCTGGACTGGAGGAGGGCGGGCCTGAGAAACTGGAGGGATGGAAGCCACCTCCCAGGATCAATGACATCAGCGGGTGGGACAGGGCTTGCAAAGTGTGCTGTGAGGCACCCACCACCGTCCCCTGGTGGCCCTGGGAGGCCAGGGTTCAATTCAGGTCCTGGCCCTGCCACTCGGCGGTTATAAGATCCCCAGCAAGTAGCTAGTGGCCTCACATCGCCCGGCAAGGATGCCCTGAGTGGCCGTGAAGCCTCATGCAAGGCCCTCAGGCGCGGGCCCGAGTGACTGCATCTCCTCACCCCAGGCAGCAGGCCCAGAGGGGCCTTTCCCCATCTGTCTTCCTGGGGGGAGGACCTTTCCCTTCACATCGAAGTGACTTCTGCTCACCAAACAGGTACATCCCTGGAGGGGGTGCATTTTGCTACTTTAAATGTGGCCTTTTGGCCCTCAGCGTGAGCCTGTTTCCTCTTCTGTAACAGGAGGAAAATAGCATTCCATCAAGTTTTTCATGCCTGGGAGGAAGGCGCACAGGGTGTGGGGAGGAGGCCCTCTGCTGTGTATTTTCAGCTCAGAGCTCCCTTCCAGCTCAGCCTTCTGGGGAGCCCTGAAAGCTGGGTTGAGGGAGGAAAAAAAGCTGTCTCCCCCACTGCCAGGTCTCTGGGATCTGTGGCACAACAGAGACCCCTGTGACAATGACAGGGACAGGAAGTACCTCGGGACCAGCCAAGATCCCACCCTTGGGGAGGATCTGGACATGCTGGAGGCGGGGTATCAGGCCCAGCATCATCTGAGCTGGACCCTGGCTACTGCAAGTCACTCTCTCCCTGCTCTTCCCTGACTGTCCTGCCCATGTGACCCCAGACAGCCCACTTCTCCACTCAGCCCCTCAAATTCTCTAAATGGATTAGCTGAGGATGGGGGGGTGGGGCACTGGGGACTCTGCTCAGACCATATGAGATGCTCGGGGCCCTTCAGCTCCAGAATCGTCCATGGCCGGGGGTCTGAGCCTGAGCGTCCGGGAGACTGAGCACCCCCACTGGAGAAGCCCTCTCCAGGAGGGCTCGGGGGTCCCTGCCTCTGAAGGGATCCAGAGACTACCTGCTCCACCTCCACTATACATCTGGAGACACTGAGGCTCAGTGAGTGAGGGGTACACAGGCCCAGACTCAGGGTACCACAGGCTCCAGAGGTCATAGCAAGGGATCAGAACTGGAGTCGCCTGCAGATGTCAGAGAAAGTGACATCACAGAGGTGAGAGGGGGGTCCCTAGAAATGGCACTGGTGGGGGCTGGGGTCCACAGAAGGCCCCTCTCCTTCCTTCCCTTCCAGAGATGCTCTACGACTCTTCCCGTGGCTGATTTCACTCCTTATAGGGCTGGCCACGGGGTGTCTGTACTTTTATGGTTTACCCAGGTGCACACATGCATACACACCCGAGCACGGCCCTTCTGCACAGTCATGGACATGCGGTGCAGACAAGTGCATGCGCACACACGTGTGCGCGGTCTGTCTCACACCTGTCCCTTCCGGAGTCCTTGCTCCTCCAGACATAGCCAGTGGATTGTGGGCGGAGGCCCCCCACTGCTGCAAACCTTCCCCCAGTAACAATGCACCTGGCCTGCCAGGCCTTTGGGAGACAAACTTCAGCCCCCTGGGGCATGGTGGAAACTAGGAGCCAGCTGCCCAAGAACCAAACCCCAGCCCTGTCATTCCCAATTCATCTAAACCCAACAGGCAGGGGTCATTCTGCCTCAGTTGGCAGCTTTTGTCCAAAACACAGATGTGGGGGTCTCGTCAATCCTGCCTGAGTCGTTGACAATCCCCCCTCTCGCTGGGGTGGGCTAAGGGCCCACTGGTGCCTGCTTTTGGGCCAGACCAGGAGGCGTGTGTGGGGTGACCACCAGGGGGCGCTCCGGCTCAGCCTTTGCACACAACCGCCCCTTGCAAGGCTGGTCCAGGGGTGCAGGTGACAGGCCCATACCACCTGTTGCATTTTATATTATTTTTGGACACTCTGACATATTCTTATTATTTAAATTTCTGTTTTGAGGGTCTTTGGCTCACCCCTGCTCACTGGAGGACACGCCCGGCCTTGTCCACCTGAGGTCAGAGGCCTGAGGAGGAGGCCCAGGCAGCAGGTCTGAAGAGCGGCCCGCCTCCCCCCCCTCCTTCCCCACTCATCTCCTGAGGAGGCCCTGCTGTGGTGGGGACCACCCCCCCTTTCCCTGGGGAAGCAAAAGAGTTTTGCTGGAGTCCCTCCTGAGGAATGAGATAGGAGGAGGAGGAGGAGGAGAGGGAGGACCGAAATGCGGAGAAGTACTATGAACAGAAAACTTCTCTAAAGCATAAAATCTAAACGCAAAACAGAAATATGAACTCAGTCTGATTCACGGCTCATGCAGAGGGAGCAAATGAGAGTCAGAGACCGGGACCCCCAAAGTTAGCCATCAGGACACAACCCCCCCCCAAACAATGATCTGGGCATGACATGCAGAATGGGCCCAGCCAACTCACGTGTAGGACTCGAAATCTCCATTGCTTATGGCTTCGATCAGCTGCTCCGTCACTTTTATAATCTCCTGTTTCCGCACTGTGAGGCAGGAGGGGACACAGAGAAATGATGGTAGTGGTGATGGTAATGGTAATGAAGCACCGACTGCCATTTTCTGAGTCTCCATCACAAGCCAGACCCTGTGCTAAGAGCTGAGGGCCTCGTGGAGACTGTCCCCTTTATATTCACGCCCTCCCTGGGAGATGGGTATCATGACTCCCATTTCACAGAGGCAGAAACTGAGGCTCAGGAACATGGGAAAAGGTGTGAAAGTTCCCTCAAGTGCAGGGGGCACAGCCGGTGTCCCAGGTGGAAGTCTTTGCCTCCGTGAGGCGTGCGTGGCAGACATTCTGACGGGAGGTCTGATTTGAACCCCGGGTGTCTCCATCCTATTGCTTTGCCACTTGAATCAAAACCAGGTTGACAGGGAGGTTGTCACTAGTAGCCATGAACCAGGTCCCCCCCCCCTCCCCCCAGGCCCAAACCAGGGCCCCCAAGGCAGGTCTTAGGGCTTACTCATCCCTCAGGTCTGGGTGAATCTTTGGTCCATTTGGGTGCCTGTAGGAATCAGGCACTGAGCTGCTCAGAACTTTCTAGGCATTAACAGATCCCAGTTGCTGAGACCTGGCCTTCTGGATGGGCTTAGGCATCAGCTTTCTTATTAGATGTGTGCTGTTCCAAGCCCCAGTTTTCCCGTCTGTGCAATGGAAACACCACCACCTCTCATCCCTTCAGTGCCAAACCCCGCCATGAGGACCAGACAGACTTCGTGTAAATGTGGGCGCAGGTCTTTACATGCCTGTAACAAGCCACAGGGTTGTTTCCGCCCCCAGCAACGAGGTAACCAGGTGGGCGAGGTGATGTGCGTAAAGCGCCCGGGCACACAGTAGGTACACATTTTAAGTTTTCCGCCTCCTCCTACTCGGGTTGCCACACCTGCTCCTCACAGACACCCCGGAGGTCCGCAAGGCCAGCGTCCCCCCATCTGATCCACAAGGACCCTGGGCCTCTGTGACACAGGAAGTGGGGGCTCCCAGCAGGGCCGTCTCAACGGAGGCCTCGCATGGCTCCCTGGGGGCAGGCCCCCTCTGCCTCAGGCCAAGCCTCACCCCACACCCGGTCAGCTCCCCGGCCTAGCAGAGCAGCCTCCCGTGAAGTTCATGGGCGCATCGCCATTTCTCAGCCTGGGGCCCTGTCCCTGCCCCTCTCCTCACCGCTGCGCACACAACCCCACGCTGTCTCACGCCGGGGAGCACACCTCAGGCCCAGACGACACCGAGTCCTGCGACATCCAGGCTGAAAGAGCCCTTGGGGACCAGGACTCAGCCTCCTTATCAAACTTTTGGGGAAATGAAGGCCCAGTATGGGGCGACTAGTCCAAGGACATAGAGCATATTGGGCACAGAATTTGGCTTCGAGCCCAGAGCCCTCTCCACAGGACCCCCACCCCCACATGCTCCCTGACGCATTAGGCCGATGTGCTCATCTAGTTCCCAGCTCAAATGCGCGCTCTACGGGGAAGCTGGGCCGTGGCTGCCCATGTCCTACGGGGGTCCCTGCACCTGGAACAGACCGGACCTGAGCTCCACAGGCGTTCATCACTGAACAAACGAGGGTGCCGGGCACTGCGCTGTGTGCTCTACCTCACAGCACAACTTCATGTGGCTGTCATCTCCCTATCGGCGGCGAGCAAACGGGAGGTGAGAGAGGTTGGCCGGTCTGCTGCGGCAGGCTGACTGCCCCAACCAGAGTTCGCGGCTCGGAAGCCCACCATCCTATTCTCGGGGCAGGGGCCGTGTGCCCAGCACGGCTCTGGGCACATGGGGGGTGCTTTTCTTCCATGTCAGTGCCACAGTGAGGGGCTGATTCTTTGTCTCCTTGCTCTGCTAAGATTTTCCAGGGCTGAGAAGGAGCCTGTCTTGGACCATGAGCCCTGTCGGCTCTCATTCTGGGGCCTTGCCTGGGGCAGGGGCAGAAGGGGCATGAATGAATAAATCAGTGGGTGCACCGAACAGGGGCCTGGGGCTGCTGTCTTCACTTTGTGTCCTAGAATTGCCCAAGTCAGGTGGTGTCTGTCCCCAGGAGTCTGGCCTCCTGGTTGACTCTCTCCTCCCTCATAGAAACTGAGGGCGGGAAGAACCCATCGCTACCTGGAGATACCTCATTCACCCCCATGCAGAATCAGGGTGATGATCCGGAGTGGGTGCACGTGCCCCCCGCAGGCCTCCTGTGCCACCTCCTAGCCTTTTCTGCACAGACTTTACCATTCCTTCCAGCCTGACATTGCACGAGCCTATGCTTAATTAATGCCCTGTGCCCAGCAGGCTGCCTCTCACTGCATCTCAGGGAGGCTAGCAGAGCGGCCAGGGGCTTGGATTTGGAGCCAGAGTCCCTGGGTTTGGAAATTGATTCTGCCCCTTAACAACTGCGACCTTGAGCAAGGTGCTTCCGCGTGCCTCAGTTTTCCCATATATATAATGGAGCTACTGATAGTACTTACCTCACAGGGCGGACCTGAGTACTGAGTGAGTTAAGAATGTAGCTGTAGAAATAACTAATACATACATGGTTCTCACTAAGAATCAGCTCCCATTCCGAGTCCTTTCTATCAACTCATTTATGTAAATAATGATGCATAAGATAAAGCATTTAGTGCCGTGCCCGGCACTCCTTAAGTACGAGCTGTGATTATTGTCATCTGGAAATTTCTGCATTGGGAGTTTTCCCTGAGGACAGCCTCTGGTCTCGAGCCAGGGCAGAGGTGTTTCCCAGAAGCCTGCTGCATGATGGTTTCATCTTGGTTGGAATTTGGGGGTCTGCAGCCCGCCGGCACCCGGCTGCGCTGTTTGACATCTCTCTCCCTTTGTGCCCACTCCTCCTTCTGTTAAGTCAGAATCTCCTCCTCTGAAAGCCCCTTGTTACAGTCCTCTTACCCTTTCTGCCTTCTGGGGCTCTGAAGTGTGCACCTGTTTCCCCAGACCCTATGTCCCCGCTCCCTCTACCAGTCTTCTCTTTCAAGGGCTGAAAGCCTCCACAATAGGATTTACAGGATCTGATGTAAGCTGGCCATCCACTCTTTGAGAATCCTTGAGCTATTTAAATGCCTCTCCGAGTATGAGCACACAAACCTCAAGGTGGCTTGAATATTGCATAATTTCAGGTCTGGAGTAACACTTTCTATCCCCTTCCCAATTCCGGACACTCTACCTCTATTAATGCAGCCAGATACAATGGCTAACTTGGCTCTGCCCCCAGCCACTCAGGGCATCAAGTTTGCCAACAGTGGAAGTCTAGTGAGCAGAAATCACCCTAGGAGCTTCATCTCTGGAATGGAAAATCTGGGAGTCTGGTGCTTCTGAGATGTGGAGAAATTCACTCTTGTTTTGGGCCCCTTCCATGTCCTCAGCAATCCTGTTGCCGTGTGATAGATTCATCCGGCAGCTTCTCAGCAGCAACTCTCTGGCATTTCTCATCTGCCAGGTGTCCACTCATTCAATTCAGGAGTGCTCCCCCACAGATGGGGAAGCTGAGGCCCCAGAGGGGTTAAGGCACTCTCTCAAGGTCACACAGCATACTGAGGCTGAGCTAGGATCAGCCTTCCTGGCTGGTATTTCCCAGAATGTCTCTGCCCAGATTCTAAGGCAGCTCTTTGGGTTGGGGGAGGAAATGAATTGTGCATGGAGTTGACCAGGAGGAGGTAGGGAAGTGGGAAGGAGCCTGGCTGGGCCTCATGCAGCTCAGGGGAGGAGAGGCCTGTGCACGAAGCCTGAGGTGCTCTGAAATATTAATGTCTGTCTTTGCTCAGGGGAAAATGTTCCCTAGAGGATGACATTCCTAATTAACTTTAATGTTAGGTCAGAATCTGCCCCACCAGCTGCTATTCTCACTTAGTAAGAAGACTTAACAAATTAACACCAGAAAATGGTTTTCTTTGAAACTCTCTGACGCCTGAGGAAGCTGGGGGAAGCACAGGGCTCCTCTCTCCTGCCGACCGCAGAGAGAAGCTTCTGGCCGGGCCAGCATCTCTTCCATCAGACACAGCCTTTTACATGTGGGAGACTGAGCATGGGACAGTGTCCCACTTCCACCATTAATAACCTAGATGTACCCTTTCTCCCTGGGCCTCAGGGTCTCGCTAAAAAAGGGGCCTGAGTGAACGAAAATTTAAGACATCACAAATCTTCCCACCCTGGTCTCTCTAGAGCAGAGGATAAATGGCTACAAATGTGGGGCCTCAGGGATGTCAGCCAGAACCACTGCCCCAGGTGGAAAAGGTCTTCGACGGGTCACATTTTACATTTACACTGCATACAAGTTTTGCATTCTGTTCCAAATATTTCTCTGTCTGTTTCACATATAAATATTTGTCCTGAAATAATCATCGAGTAAAATTAATACTCCAAGAAAATGTTCTGTGGCCTCCTCTCATTCAGCCATAAGCTCCAGTCTGAAAAAAAAGAAGGGGGCGCCTGGGTGGTTCAGCTGATTAAGCGTCGAACTTCAGGTTAGGTCATGAACTCATGGTCTGTGAGTTCAAGTCCCACGTCGGGCTCTGTGCTGACAGCTCAGAGTCCGGAGCCTGCCTGCTGATTCTGTGTCTCCCTCTCTCTCTCTCACAACTAAATAATTTTTAAAAATTAAAAAAAAGAAATTAAAATTTATTAAATGATTACCATGTGCCAAATACTGTCTAACCCCTTGATACACAGCCTTTCATTTCATCCCCACAGCAATCTGCTGAGATTGATACTATTATCATCATCTCTTTACTGAAGGAGACTCAGAGAGGTTGAGTTTGTTAGCCAAGGTCACCCAACAAATGGACCGCAGTGAAGGAGCACAGAGCCAATTCACCTCTACGATTCCCGTCTGCTCTGAGACCAGCATTATGAGACCACAATGAGTCTTTTCAAAATCCCAGTGCCTCTTATCATTAAGACCACAAACCTCAGATGTGGGGAAAGACTTAGACATTCCGTGTCTGTGCCCCCACAGACCTACGGAATCAGAATCCACAGGGGCAGGGCTGGGAATGCGGTGAGAAAATCATACCTGAGGGACTTGGAATGCAGACTTGACCCGACAGGGAGTTTTTCTTCAAGATGACCTATTGTTTTTTAAAGTTTTTATTTACTTTGGGGAGGGGCAGAGAGAGAGACTCCCAAGCCGGCTCTGCACAGTCAGCACTCAGGATCAGATTGGGGCTCAATCCCACAAACCATGAGATCCTGACCTGAACCGAAATGAAGAGGGGGACGCTTAGCCTGCTGAGCCACCCGGGCACCCTGGCGTAATCCATTTTTAAAGGCTGCCATCACGGAAGACTGGTTTGTTCTAGCCCTGGGCTGTGGCGATACTGTGGCTGCACCCACGCCCAGCTGGGAAGGACCATCCAGGGACACCCACAGGGTGGGCCTGGTGTCCCGAGGCACCCTGGCCGAGTCCGAAGGTGGCCACAGAGTCCTGTGTGTCAAAATAACCTCAAAGGCGGAAACGCAGTTGTGCAAAAACAATCAGTTACATAGTAAAATGCTCTCTCCCCGTTCATTGCCTTCTTTTAGAGGCAAATATCTAAACTGAAAAACATCTACGCAGGTAGAGCTGCAATGTTTCCAAGCCACCGGTGTTTTTCAAAATTGCAGACACCCCCCAGGTGTGTCTGACTTGAGCTGCGAGGACCCCCGTCCCATAGGAAGAGGACGGCAGGTGCGGGCAGCACAGCAGGTCGTCACTAACTCATCCAAGGACTTGGGGTCCCCGGAGCAGAAGTCCACACTCGTCCTTTCTGCTCCAACTCCAAGCATGCTTGCCATACACCGACACCTTTGAGCCAAGGTCACGAGACAGGACCTGGAGCCACGTTCCCCGGGTTCACATCCTCATCCCACCCTTATGAGCTAGAGCACCTTGGGCCAATTTACTTCACCTCTGTTTCCCAGTCCATAGAATGGGCTCGATCACAGCACCTACCTCACGAGGTTGTCGTGAAGCTCAGGTAAATGTAAAGCGTGTGGAACGGGTCTAGCACACAGCACGTGCCCCACAAAGGCAACCACTATCCTGTCATTGTCTTTACTATTTTCTCTCTTACCCTCAGGTCACAGTACCTGGAGTTCTTCTCCCTCATCCTTCTGAAGGTTTTTGGGGACTGTTAGCCACTGGCTCCAGCAGCCAACGTTTGGGGTTAGTCTTCAGCAATGCTTCTCATGCTCCAGTCAACTGAACTTTCTGAAGTGTTGCTTTCCCTTCCTTTCTTATCATCACTTCATGGTTTTTTAAATCAACTCATTTTTATTACTTATTTATTTAAGGAAAGCTTTATGTCCAAAATGGGGCTTGAACTCAGGACTCTGAAGATCAAGAGTCAAGAGTCATACGCTTCACTAACTGAGCTGCTCCTAAAATCAACTCTTCGTCTTTTTTTTTTTTTTTTTTTTGAGAGCGAGCGAGCGAGCAGGGGAAGAGGGGCAGAGAGAGAGAAAGAGAATCTTAAGCAAGCACCATGCTCAACACGGAGCCCGACACAGCGCTCTATCCCACCACCCTGGGATCATGACTTGAGCCAAAATCAAGAGTCAGACACTCAAACGACTGAGCCACTCAGGCGCCCCTAAATCAACTCATTTTTTACATTTTCAAAAGGGAAATGTACACCACTATGATCCATTTATGACTTGGATATGCTCATTTTTTCCCCTAAAACATACCAAACCTCACCCCTCACCCCCACAACGGGAAAAGCCCATCTGTATGCCACTAGTGGACCCAGCACCTCATATGGGCGAGCAGTGCCCTGTGATGTGGCCAGTCTGTGAGCGGCCACAGCCACGGTCTCTGCGGAGGAACAGGACACAGGTTGGTGCCGGGGTCCCTGTGGGCCCGAGCTGTCAGTGAAGGGGGCCTGCCGGGCAGCCCAGGGGGCCCCGACACTGAAGGCAAGGCTCCCCCCTACCTTTGGTGTCTTCATCCTCAATGGTGGTATTGGTACTCTCTGAAGATTCCTGCCAAAGAGAACACGAGAGGCGGTGAGGCCTGCCTGCCAAGCAGGAGGCCGCACGGCCGGTTCGGGGCTGCCCCGGCTGCCTGACGCTGTGGCCCGGTTTCCGTAAGCCTCACCGCCTCTCCATCCAGATGCTGCCCTGACGACCCTGCCAGACCTCCAAGCCTAAGGAGGGGGAGGGCCCAGCTAAGCGGGTGGCTGGTGGCAGGGGGCGTGGATGAAGGGATGGATGCAAGGAGAACCCTGGCCTTCCTGGAAGGGCTGGGAGGGCTCCCTGGCCCCGTCTGTTGAGGGAGCAAAGAGGGGGTGTGGGAGAGCAGAAGAGGCACATGGTGGCCACAGAATGGGAAAGGAATACACACTGGCAGGAAAGGAAGAGAGAGAGGCGGGGAGGGCCAGTGTGAGAGAGGCGGGGCTTCGGGGGGAGAAAAACCACACAACTGAGGGAGACAGCGATGGAATCAGAAGAAGAGGGATGTGGGCCACCATGCCACTACGGGGTCCCCTAGACAGAGGCACGGGCTGGTGGCTCCTCTGCCATGGGCAGGCCCTGGGTAGCTTCGAGAAGCTCAAGAAGGGCCTCTCCGGCGCCCACTCGTTGGGCCAAACCAAGCCCCCGCCTCGCCGCAACTGGCACAAACCAAGCCCTGAGATGAGTTCCAGAGCAGAGGGTGGGGAGAAGCGAGAAGCCGAGGGCTGGACTTGGGATGGGGTTTAAATCAACCTTCATACCTGAGGGGGCCCTCAGGTCTGCCGCCAGGCTCTGGTCTGGGCCATGGAGTTGGAGGTGTTGACAGAAACACGCCAACAACACGCACACACACACAACACACATGTCACACGAGGCACACACGTACCGAGCACGCCCTGAGCACCCTCTCCCCGCCCCGGGTTCCCAGTGCAGCCTGCAGGAGGGAGGCGGGCGCGGGGGTTTGAGGCCCAGCATTTACCGGCGTTTGGGAGACGGCAGACACTCACCATTAACTGAACGCTGGAACTGGACTTTCTTTTCTGGAAAAACAAGGAGAAGAGATGGGACAGGAAAAGACACAGCGTGAAAACGGCAGGGAGCAGAGAAACGGCAGGGAGCAGAGAAACAAACGACAGGGGAGGTTTGGAAGGACGATGGGCCTCGGGGTCATCCTGTGTGGTCCCTCGCCCCAGCGTGGCATTGGGGCACGAGAACAGGGCCACCTGCAAGAGCTGCCCTAAGCACGGCCAGTCCTCTCTCAGCCTGAAGCTCTCGGGGCCTCACGTGCAGCTGCCTGGGGCACGCTGTCCCATCAGCAAGTTCCAGGCCGGCCCTCGCTTGCCCCAGGGCACCCCCATACCGAGCTCGGACAGGGGGACCAATCCTAGGTCTTGGATGCCAGTCGCCTAAGGCCTCTGGAAACCAAAGCCCTTGCCGGACAAGAGGGGGCTCGGGTCTGGAGATGAGGCTCCTAGACTCCCCGTGTGTCTGTACTGAAAGAGCCCGGCCCCCGGGTGGGTTCAATGTCACAGTCACTTGGGACACTTGTTGGAAATAAACATCACCCAGGTCCCCCCCAAGGAGCCTGATAACTAGGCGTGGGGTGGGGCCTGGGCATCTCCGTTTTAAAAAGTATCGCCAGGTGACTGCAGAGCAGGCCCGGTGCCGAAACCACCAACTCTAAGTGGCCTTTGAAGTCCTGCTTCCCAGCGACGGGCCTGTTCAACTCCTTTACACTGACAGAGAAACTGAGGCACAGCCAGACACATGGCTGAGCCCAGAATTTGAGTCTTTGGGCCCTGCCCTCCCTCCTAGTCCAGCTTTTGGGGAATTTGCAGTTTCGTTCCAACTATAGGCTAAGGAACCAAGGGAAGAGAGAGAGAGAGGGAGGTCACATAGGACACATGTCTTCTCCCTGTCTCACCCTAAGCTAGGAGGTGCAAAGACTCACATTCAGGGAAGGCTACAGGTCGAGACTGATGCTAGCATTGGACAGAGGGGAAGCTGGGGCCCAGAGATGGGCAGGGGTCTGCCCGAGGTCTCTCAGAGAGCCGGTAGCAGAGGGGAGGCTGAACCCCCTGAGTGCAGGCTTCCTCCTCTGTCCAGGTGTCCAGGCCCCACAACCTGACTGCACTGCAAAGGCTGGTCCTTCCTGGACGCGCTTCCACGTGAGAGGCCTGGAGGCTGTTCTCCTCGGCGCATTGTAGGGGGAGCAGGGCAGGACTTGAGATGCCCGCAGGGTAGACCTTTGCCAGGGGGAGGCACTGGCCATTCTTGGAGGATCCTTAGGTCTAATTCTGCGCTTTCTGACTTCAAGATCCAAGAGTCTCTGAGGAGCAGAGTCTCCATCCAGGGCCCCCTCAGACGTGGCCAAAGTGGCTGACTCCTGGTCCCTGCATCTGCCCCAGCTTGGTGGACAGTGTGACTCCCGCAGCCAGCAGCCCGTGGCCAGCCCCTCATCCCCTGTCCTAGGGGCGGCCTCGCTTCTGGCCGGAGCCTGGCCAGGCACAGTGTACGTGGCAAGGGACAGGCCCTCACAGCTCACTGTCAGCAGAAACCCGAGGAACGCAGGGGCCTGGGGTCCAGGCGGGACACGAGGAGGGAACACAGAGCAGAGACTGCGTCAGTTCGGACATACAGTGACAGGATGGGACATGGGGGAGAGGAGTCACGATGGCACGGATGGGACACCAACAGGGGGCAGTGAGTGAGGTTGAGGGGTGGGAGCAGTCGGCCGCTCCTCATAGAAGCAGAGGCTTAGAGGTGGCTGGGGGGCGGGGCGGGGTGGGGGGCATCACTTCTTGCCAACAAAAAGACTCGATTTCCCTGGATCACAAATGATGATGATACTAATAACCCCACACTGATCAGGGGCTTTCACCAAAAGTAGAGTCACATCTCCTAGACTCACGTGTAGACGCATAGTTCTAGGGTTAGCAAAAATGGCAGAAATAAAGTGGGGTCAAAATTAGCCCTGCAAGGCCCGTAAAGTACAGCTCAGTGTCATCTCTGTCTCCAAGCAGCCCTTTCCCCCTCCAGCGTTGGAAGCAAACACTGGGGCTCCAGCAAAGCCTCAGATGAAGTCGGTAGTTTCCTCGGGGACCAAGTCAGAAGAAGAATATGTACTTCCCCACTTGGGTGGAATGTGTGTCGTTTAGAGGAGCACACGGCATGACCCCCCCAAGGCCCTCTCTGGCGTGAGCCTCTCAGTGGCAGCCGGAAACACCTGTGTTCCTCCCTTGCACAGACAGCAGAATTGACGGCTCAGATCTCCAAAGGAGGGGACGGTGGGGCCCATCAAACCCACAGCCCCTTGACTTGAGGTCCAGCACCTCTCAGACGAGACCCCAGAGCAACGCCATGCGGCTAGGTTCCCCAGCTCCTGGGCAGGCCACTGGTTGCTCTCGTCTTCCAGCTGGACTACTCCCCTCCTCCATCCCCCACAAAAGGCTATTCCTGGCCTTTGGGTTTCTCTTCATCCACACCAGAGCCACCTGAGAAGCCACTCGGGGTCTGTCCCACCGCTGCAGGAAGGAGTGGCTGTTTCTTCAGCTGCGCCCACGGGCAAGCCCCGCGGGGACTAGCCATACTTCGCCATGCTGTGATGTCCTTCCGCCCAGATAGCCTCTGCCTCCGGGCCTGGCCTGGAGAGGAGCCAGAAGGGAGCTTCATCCCAAGACCAGGTGTGAGGGAGGACCTGACCTCACACCGAATGGCTCTGTGTCAGCCTTTGCCGGGGCCACGGCCAAGAGCCAAGCGGACAGTGTAGCCCTCCCTCTGCCCCTCCTCCTCCACGGACTTAAGCCGCAGCCCACGGGCACATGTGGCCTCTGCCCTATATCCTCCAAGTATGACCTTTCCCAGGGAACCCAGGGAAACACACTGGCGCCAAGAGGACCCCAGCTGCTCCAAACTGGGCCACCCTTATATTGCACATCCCTCCCAGTGTGTAACCCAAAACAGCAAGGCACCCAGAGCTCAATGTAAGATTGCATTGTAGGATTTGGGATAGGTGTGTGTTAACTTTATAAACTGGGTTGGCTTTTAGAGCTGTGTTTCCAAATATTTCCTGGATCAAACTTTGTTTTCGAGAGAAATCTTACTTGAAAGCTCAATCTAGAAAACAGAAAAGATAATACTGACTAGCATCTCATGAGCGAGCGTCGCAAGCCAGGACCCCTGCTAAATCCTCACCGTACATTATCCTGCTTCACACTCATGCGCAGCCCCAGGAGGTGGGAATCCCTTTTACTCCCATTGCCCAGATGAGGATACGCAGGTTCGAGGGACTGAAATAACCAGCTGAGGTCTGTAGTTGCTAAGTCCACCCTGGCTCCCTGAACCACTGCAATATCTGTTCCGTGGAGCTGTTTGGCTGAAGTGGGTGTGAGACACCCAGAATCTTCTCTGCTCAGCCTCCCTGTTTCTATCGCACGCTACCTGCTGCCAGGGGTGCCCCCCCAAAACCTTCAGGCTCCCAGAAGTTCCGTTTGAAAACCATGGACTTTGGCTGATAACCAACTGATTATGCTGATAACCGTAAGTACCCAAGACAAGAAGGAGAAATGATTAGAGAGGGTTTTGTTGCCTGTCTTTTTTTCTTTCTTTTTTTTTCTTTTCTGTTTTAAAAGCTTACATCTTGGAAATCATGGAGTCCACACGCGTCCCCCCTGCCTCGATCCATTGCACTTATGAGGAAACTCAAGCCCCCAGAGGACTAAAAGCAGAGAGGAGCCCCAAATCCTGGCCTCAGCCAGCCAGCCCAGATCTCCTCCCATGCAGCCCCTCAACCGAACCAAAGCCAGCAACCTGAGACCATAAGTGCCTCTACGACGAAGCCATGAAGCCACCAGCCCACCGGGATGGCTGTGTTTGGACAGCATCCCACACCTTCCAGCATCCTGGGCACAGCCCAGCCCTGGGGTCCTGGCCAGGCAGGGCTCTGAGCCCAGAAAAAGGCAGGGTCTCAAGAGAGGATAGTCCACAAGGCAAGCCAGTGGCAGGGGAGGAGGGGGCTGGAGAGAGGTGGGGGTGGGGGCAGGCCCCAGAGAGCAGAGGGAAAAGAGAGAGGAGGGAAGGAGGGGGGAGCAGGGAGTGGACAGAAGTAGCTCGGGCATCGGGGGTGGGGGCAGAGGGCAGGCCTGGGCCATGGAAAGGAGGGGATTCTTGGCCCTGAGCCGGCAGACCTTGACAGAGGTGGGTGCCTCTGTCAGATGACTGGCTCTCCATCCTCCATGGGCTTTGTGGGTTGGACTGGGGTGTGCTCTGGGTCAGGGGCCCGTTCCAGCCAGGTCACCCCTCACGATCAGCCCTGCGTCTTCTTTGTACCCTCTCACTTTCCAGACCTCCCGTCCCAGAGAACCACAGGTATCTTCAGACCCGCCCCTTTCCTGGCACCCGCCCCAAACCCCCTGGCCACCTGCCTCTCCCATCTCCTTTCAACCCTCCCGGCCCCCGGCCCCCAGCCCCCGCCGCTCCCGGGGACAGCCAGGCTGCACGAGTGGCCACATCTGCCCAGAACACCTTCAGCAAGGCCTGGGTCTTGCCCCAGCCCTGAAAGGCGGGCCCTGTTGGCGGAAACGCTGCCAGATGCCGGCCCTGCCAGGCTCTGGGGGGCTTACCTTCACACCATCATTCTTCTTGTTTCCTCCGCTCTTCCCTCCTGCGGAGGAGAAAAAGTAGAGGGTTACCAACACCAGGCAGGGCACCAAGGCCCACAGGGTGAGGAACAGCAGCATCCACGGGCAGGCTGGGGGCACGGAGCCGGCTTAGAGGTCCGGGGGACACCTCCTCCTTCTGCTCCTCCTTCCTCCTTGGGGCCTGGGCTGCCGGCGGCCCCCTAGGTGGGCCTGGACTCCCCCGTTCTCAGCAGTCTTGAGTGTGACCCCCTGGCCCCATGGGTCTTAAGAGGTGACCAATGTGCCCCGGGCCCGCGGGGTTGCTGTTTCAGCCCCGGGGATTCCCTCTGGATCCCAGTCACCACCCGTGCTGGTGGCGGCCAACCCGGAGGCCTGGCCGCCTGGCCGGGGGCTGGCCACTCCCTCCCCACCCCGGCCGGCTCTAATTTTAGCCCCACGCTGCTGCGGAGGTCATGTGTCAGCCCTGCTACTCACTCCGGACAGCTGCGAACGTTGTTTTGCTGGTGACGAGAAGCAGATGCCCGGCTCTGGGGCCCATCCCTGCTAGAGCACCCACCCCCTACCGAGGCCTCCTATCCTCACGCTCCGGAGCCCCATGCTAGGGCTGGCTGTGTCCCTGGTGGCTGGGAAAAGCAGAGCCGCAGTTCTCAGGGAGGCCCCTCCTCTGTCATTCCATTCTCCCTCCCTCCTCGCCTCCTGGACGGAGCCCTTGGAGAGGGCAGCAGCCAGGAACCGGCAGGAATGCCCAGCCCTGCCCAGCCCGGCATCTGGCCGCTCCAGACTTCAAACAAATGCCTTAAGGTACACGAGACAGGATAACTATAAAGTGCTTAGCACAGCACTTGACCTGGATGCAGTAGCTGGTCAGTAAATGGTAGCCACTGTACGTCCTTCTCCCGGCGGCCTGGAGATGGGGAGCCTGGGAAAAGAGGCGGCACGGGAAGTGGACGCCCCGGAGGCTCAGAGGGACTGGCTCATGCTAGCCCAGCTCCCCGGTCCTTCTCGCATCTCCACCTGTGACCCCTTCCAGGCAAGTTTCCCTCTTACAAAGTACATGCAGGGGTGGGTGCCTCTGGATCCCGAAGCTGGGAGGAATGAGCTTCATGCACTGGACTGGGGTGTACAGGAGCTTCTGCAAGCTTCACAGGCTCGACTGGGGCATACAGCAGAACGGGGGAATGGTGCCCCTCTCAACTCCAGCCCACCACCCGCAGGGCTATAGTCCCCTGTGGTCACATGTTCTGATTTCCAAGAGAAGACAGAAATCTGACTTTTCCTATGAAATCTCCTCATTTGTAAGTGCCGGGACCTCTTTTCAAAAACACCACTGTTTTACAACACCGGCCCCCAAGAGATGGGAGCTGACCCACGGGCGCCACCTGGACTGGGGTTTCTAGGGACACTTTGGATGTTAAAAAAAGGCTCTGACTGTCTGGGTGGCTCATCTTTCAGGTTAAGGAGCTGCAGGAGCCTTGTCTGGGGAGAGTGGGAAGGCAGTCACATGTGGTGGGGCGAGCCCAAATGTGAAGTTCCAGAGCTTTCTCGCCTGTGGGTCTCATTCTTCCAGCTAGTTCAATGGGCCGATAGACTCCCTGGGAAGCCATCACCACAGCTTCCCAAAGCTGACCCCTCGCTGTGGGGCCGGCCACGTGTCCACAGCAGCCCTCTCCGGCTGGCCCAGCCCCGGCCAGAGGGCCCCTCGGGTGAGCTTTGCTATATCTGCTCAGCTGCCCCGTCAGCTGTCCAGGCTCCACAGAGAGAAGCTTCTGGCAGGCACGGACCTGGGTTCTCTCCAATATGCCAAGGGGAGCTTCTTGCTAAGCCCTGATGCAAATCCCTTCCTTTTCTCTTTGGGGCCACACACTGCAGGTCGTTGGGCCCTCCCTGCCTTAGCCAGCCAGCTGTGGCCAAGGCCAAAGGCCACTCCCCTGGCTCCCTGGTGACCCATCTCGGTTAAGGGCTTGCTCTGGGGTTGCTCAAAGCTGCACCAGAAGCAGGCTTTGCCTCTCTCTGCCTAGCAGTGACCCTCACTGCCTTGTCACAAAGGCCACTTGAGTGAAAGCATAGGGACCGCTTGCACAGGGCTCGGTAACAGCGGGGAACAGGAATATTGCTGCTTCCTGGGCCTAGTTTGGTCCTGCCAGGACTCGTACCCTGGTATTTGGGAGGCCTCCTGGTCGGGCTGGCCCAACCTGAGAGCCCAGCACCGCTGTGAGGTTGGGGAGCCAACTTTTCCTGATGGGCCTCTGGCTTGCTGACCTTTCACCTCTTGCCCCTTCTGGGTGCAAGTGCCCCAAGCATCCAGTCCTTGGTCCTCCGTAGCCCTCACTCTCCCCAGGCCCCTGGCCCAAGGCCACCCAGATATCCGACAAGGCAATGCTCTCAACAGACCTGTGCAGGATATATTTGGGACTCTGAGGTCCCACCACCTACCAGAGAAGTTCCTGGTAGCCAGCATAGTGGTAAGGATGGCTCCCTGCAACAGAGAAGGAGGGGGTGTGGGGCACAGGACGTCAGAGGTGAGGGGGGAGAGGAGAGACAGAGAGGTGGGAGGGGTGGGGGGAGGGGAGGCAGGTGCTGCATTCAGACACAAAGCCAAAGCCTTCCGCCCTGCCCCTCCATCTGTGTTCACCCCACAGCCCAGAGACTGTCCCTGCCTCCCTGGGGAAGTCGGGGAGAGCTAGGCCTTAGCTGGCACAGCTCCTGGGACAGGGCCATCCTAGCAGCAGATATTAATAGGTTCCGCTGGCCTGGCCAGGGTGGTGGAAAGGGCTCGGGGACACCTGTCAGTGGGGGCTCCTAAAGGCCACGGAAAGGTCCTGCCTGGACAAGGACAGTAGACCTGACCTCCTGGGCGCCCTTTACCCTCCGCCCGGTGCATTCAGTCCCTCGTTCCATCGTTAGTTTGTCCACCCGGGGCTCTGAAACTCTTTTGTCTCGATGAGGGGGCTAGGGGACTGCCCTTCTGGTTCTGACACTGATTTGGACACTCTCTGAGTCTGACAGTTCCTGATTTTAAGACATGAAAAAGGGTTTTGACGTTTTGAGATTTCCTCTGTGACAGTGCGGTGCGGGGGGGGGGGGGGGGGGGGGGGGGGGGAGCGGGCAGTGGGACTTAGTTCTCCTGGCATCAGGCGGGCCACCACCCCCTTGGCCCATGTCGCCTTCCTGAGCCACCACATCAGGCCTGGGAGCAGTTGGTGAGGAGGTTCTGAATGAGCTGAGGCCTCAGCACCTGTCACTCGGTGTTCTGATGGCTCCTCTGTCCCAGAGGGCTGGGGATTCCTCGGTCGTTCTTCCTGCCTGTTCGTGGGGTCCCTGGCAAGGTCTAGGCCAGTAGCTATCACAGCCCCGGGAGCACACACGACCTGCTTGAGAGGCTGGCAGCTCCGGGCCCACCTGGGCCCCGCTGTGGCTTCCTCTGGGCCGTGACCCCTGACCACGCCCCTTGGCTTGTCATCCCCAGCGTTCTGCAGCCGGGCCTCTCACGCCCCTGGTCATCTGCCCCGTCCCAGCTCAGCCCCTAGAGCCCCTCCCAAGCCAGGCTGGAACACCTGCAATCCCCCTGCGGGGTCAAGCTCACGCTTCTGCACGAGCTTTCCTCTCTGTCTGGAACATCTGCCCACACCGACTCTACCCCGTTAATACCTGCGTATCCTCTGGGGCATCCGCTTAAATGCCACTTGCCTAGCAGGTCTTCCTGGGGTACTTCCCTGGTCCTTCCAGACCCGGTTCACGGCCTTGCTGTATGCACCCCCGGCCTCAGGGTGTGCCCAGGCACAGCACCTCCCACTGCCCCTTCGGGTCCTGCTTCCTTGTCTGTCCTTTCCACCGCCCACTCCCCCGCCCAGACAGTAGACATGCAGGAAGTGCTTGTTGACTCAGTGAAGGAAAGAACTCGTGAGTGAATCTCTCGGCCTCTGTGGAGACCGAACCAGGCTACTCCGTGTCCGGAGGCTAGGGAGGCCGAGGACCTGTTACCTTCAGTTTCCTCCTGGCGTTGAACTTCTTCAGGCAGTCCACGGTCTCCTGTCTGTGCATGCAGGAGGCCACCGTGGACCGGTGCTGGAGGAAGAGGGGAGAGGTCTGTGAGGGGAAGCCAGGCCCGCCCGGGCGCCCTGCAGCAGGGTGTCTCACGGAGATGCAGTCGGCGTTTTGGGGGGAACAAATCTTTGTTCCAGCGAATGTTGTCAACACAGCAGGCACTTAGCGCCCCGGGCACCAGACATCCAGTGCCAGGAGCACCACCAGCCATGATGCCAACGCCTCCCGTTCTCAGCTCCCCCTGAGAACCACAGCCGGGCAGCGTCTTCTGACCCTGTGTTGGGCCTGAGGAGCCAGGGGCAGGGCCATGGGGGTCTGGACCCTGAAGTCTGGAGGGGCTCCTGGAAAGTGCCCTGCTGAGGAAGGCTCACCGAGATCCAAGGGTGCTTGAGGGCCTCGGCGGCCGTGATGCGTTTGGATGGGTTGATGGTCAGCATCTTATTGATCAGATCCTTGGCTTCTGGGGTGACGGTGTCCCATTCTGGTGACGGGAACTGGAAGGGGCAGAGGGGCCAGGTTTGCCCAGCCTACCCCAGGCCACCCCTGCGATCCCCCAGCCCCTGACTGGCAGGGGAGCAGGCAGGGGTCCTATGGCCCATCCACTCGGGCATCCGCAATTGGGAGGAAAAGGGACCCCTCTGGAACCAGACAAGGGACAGGGTGCTTTGCGCCAGGGACAAATCAAAGCAGAGGTCAGAGGGAAAGGAGGACCTCCTCTGTTTTTCTGAGGCTGTGCCTTATCTGGGGACCAGTGGGCCAGCGACCATAGGCCAGACTTCAGAATCAGAAGGCTGAGTTTAAGTCCTGGCTCTGCCTCTGGGGCTATGTGACTTTGGGCAAGTCACGGGACCCTCCAGCTGCCCCTGGAGATGTTGTGAGGATTAAATGTGATATAAAACACATAGCACATAGCGTGATGGAATCAGCCTTATTGAAAATCAGTATAGCTTGGTCATCAGGAGCACAGATGGTGGAGCCAAACTGCTTAGGTTCAAATCCCAGCTCAGCTCTACTACTTCTTAGCTATGCAGTGTGGGCAGTTATTTAACCTCGCTGTGCCTCAGCTGTCTTCTCTGTAAAATGGGACTAATAATCGCACCTAGGTCATAGAATGGTTGGAAGATTAGCTGTAATATATATAAAGCCTTTAGAGTTAGATATTATTATTATTTATGTGTGTGTTACTATTTGGTAGGGAGAGGTTGAGAGTCTGGCTTCTGGACCTTCCCTCCACCTCTCGTCCCACGTTGGTGCTATTTCTGCCCTCCGGGGCCCCAGGCAAAATCCCATCACACAGAGGCTCCACCAGGAGGCGAGGCCCCACACATCAGCCCTGAAGCTCCACCCGCCCCACGACTAGAGAGTGGCACGGGGTCTAAATGGGGTGGGAGGGCAGGAGGGAGGCACAGGGGATGACGGGGAGGCTGGAGAGAGGAGGGACACTCACATCATAGGCGCCGGCTTTGATTTGCTGGTACAGGCGGTGCTGGTCCTCATCCCAGAATGGCGGATACCCAACCAGCAGGATGTACAGGATGACCCCTGGGAAGAGGACCAGGAGAAGCCTCACCCCCCTGTGAGGAGGAGCCACGAAGAGGGGAAGGATGGGAAAGGAGCGGGCACCAGAGAGGCAGGTGACTGCGGGGGGCGGGGTGTGTGAGGGGGGACGAGACGGCTTCGGGGTAGACTCACCACAGGCCCACAGGTCCACAGGCTTCCCATACGGGTCCTTCCGCAGCACTTCTGGGGACAGGTATCCAGGCGTCCCTGCGAACCCTGCTCCCCAGACACCCAGACAGGCACACGCACACACACACACACACACAGGTTAGCACGTTAGCAACGCAGAGCAGGATCTTGCTGGAAGAGGGCTGAGGTTGCCCTGGAGGCGAGGAAAACACTCCCTGCCCCCAAAAGTGGGTCAGGGGCAGGAAGCTCTGGCCTGGCAAGGCAGCAAAGCCTCTAGGCCTGGCTGGACAAGTCCACGGGGCACTTGTCACCACCCCCACTCCAGAGCCTACGGCAGAAGTCATCGAGCAATCGCAGAGTCCTTGCCGTGGGGTCCTGACTCAGCATCATACACTTCTAACAGCCCTGCTGCAGCCACCATTAAGTGCGGTGGCACTCTAGACAAAGTGCCCTTGCCATGTCAGCTATAGGCCGTGCTGAGCCCTTGCCCACTCTCCAGCCTTGGAGGAGCTGGTCCTGGGAGAGGAGGAGGACTCTCCCTAGCTCTGGTTTTGCCTTAAGTCTTTTTTCCCTCGGGGCCTCAGTTTCCTCATCTGTCAAATGAGGGATTAGGGATTCCTGCTCCCACTACCCCCCAGCACTGATGAGAGGATCACTTGCAATAAACAGGCATCCAAAGTACTTTAACAAACAATCATAAGTGTGTGTGTGTGCTGAGCACGGAGCGGAGCACTTACATGCCTGGTCTCCCTCCTCACACAGCCCCGAGGAACATGCTATTATCACCCCCATTTTACAGATGAGGAAACGAAGGCTCAGCAAAGTGACACGACTCCCCCCTAAAGTCACACACCTCCTAAGTGGCTGGGTCAGAACTTGAACCCAGAGCTCAATGATCAAAAGTGCCCACTAACAAGTTTCCCCGGACAGCGGAAAGGACTCGATTATGCCAAAAGCTCAGAGCACACTGGATCATCGGAGCTTAGATCCTGGCTCTACCCCTTTTAATCTCCCATGAACTCTTTCTCAGCCTCTGTTCCTCATTTGTAAAATCAGGATAATTAGCCCTGGGACCCGGGGGAACCCACAGAAGCCCCTAGCCAGTGGTGACAGTGTGCGTGCACGTAAAGAAGTCACGCACTCTTTTCATGGGAACCGTGGCCCCGTGCCCGACTCCCATGGAGGTAGGATGGGCAGCACCCGGTGACCAGAGGCTGAGTGGCCTGGGGCCTCTGCTCCTGGAGCCCTGGCTAGGCCCCGGCCAGCTCCCACCTGCCCCTGACTGGGCGGGGGGCTCCTAGAGGCCAACGTGTCAACACGAGGCTGGCCCCCACTGCCCCTGCTGCCCCCGCCCCCACTCACCGAACCATGCCTGCTGCTCCCCTTCCACCTCGATGGCCAGCCCGAAGTCCGCCAGCTTCACCGCGGCGCCCTTGAGCTTGGAAGCCAACAACAGATTCTCCGGCTTCCCGGGACCAAAGAGAGGAGTGAAATGGGGGAAGAAAGAGCCAGAAGACAGTGAGCGGATTCAGAACCTCACCTCCCGGGGTTCTGGGCGTCCGGGAGGAGCAGCTGGACAATCCAGAGGCACCCTGCACCTGCCCCTCCAGTCCCCGCCGTGGGACCCTGTGCTTCAGTCCCCAGAGACGGGACAACCCTAGTGCAACACCTCCATCTACTGCAACAGAAAGATCCTTTGCCCATCACTCATCCCCTCCTCCGCTCCACCTCAGGGTTTGGGGCTGGGGCCGAGGTGAAGGCAGGGAGTTGGGGGAACAGCCACCATTTACGATAAAGAAAAGGGAGCGATATTTATTGCACCCCTACTAGGTGCCGGCCACCAGGCAAAGTGTTTTGCATATGTCATCTTGCTGATCATCTCAACAACCTTTGGGGCCGGCATTATTATCCCCATTTTCCACAATAGTCTTCCTACATTCCCCCAAACACTCATGCCTGTTCCCACCTCAGGACCTTTGCACTTCCTGCTCCCCCTGTCTGATTTGCTCCTTCTCGGAGCTCCATGGAGCTGACCTCTTCTCTTCATCCACCCTCACCTTCATGTCACCCTCTCAAAGAATCCTTCCATGACTATCTAAAGGAGGAGCCCCCAGGTGTCCTCTGCCTTGGCAACTTGTTATTACCTTCATAGATATCATCACAATTTGTAATGTTTTCCCCATCTCTTTATGTGCTTGTTCATTATCTGTCACCTCTATAGAAAGTGAGTTCCTTATCTGTCTGTGTACTACTATTATCACCAGGATCTAAGGCAGGGGAGAGCAGGCACTTAATAAATATTTGTTGTATGTATCAAGGTGAGGAAACAAAGGCTCAGAGAAGTTAAGTGACTTGACCAAGATCACACAGCTGAGAAGCTATAGAGTCAGAATGGAGGCAAAGTCAGGCTCTCGAGCTGTATTCTTAAGCACTCTAGGCTGACAGACGGCCTCGTATATGCTGCCTGGCCTCTGGGGCCCCAAGGCGGCTGTCTTCCTCTGTGTCTGGAGAACAGGAAACCCCCCTACACAGCACAGAGGGAAGAGGAAGTGAATTCCACAGTGAGATGGCCCTCGCGTCTGACCCAGCTCTTCCATTTCAATGCTGTGGCACTTGGGCAAGCCATGTCCCTTCTGAGCTCTAGTTTCCTCTCAGAAAATGGATGAAGCCCAGCTCATGGAGTGGCGTGTGGATTAATCTGTGTAGAGCACTTGGCAGTGGCCTAGAGCACGTGCTGGAGGAGCATCAGCCCTCATATTTTCTGCTGGGGGCGGGCTGGGGGACGTGGGCTCGACTCCCTGGAGACAGCTGGTTTCCTCTGACCCCCTCCCCACCGGAACTTCTGAGGGGTCCCACCTCTGACCTTCCACTGCGGGACCCAAACAAATATAGCTCCATCTGCCCCTCGTTAAGGCCTCTTTTGTCCTTTGGGGACCGCGTTCCCAAAGTGTCCTGGGCCTTGGTAGCTGTCCTGCCCTGATTTGATGAATATGCCACTAATTAATCTATGCAGAGTGGCCTAAATTTGCGCTGCCTCTCCTCCTTTCTCCTCCCGAGCAGGGGCTGTAGCTGTAATGGGAACAGGGACCCTCTGGGAGCGCACACTTGCCTGTGGGTCTAGGCTGAGCCACAGGGAGCTCACATGACTCAGGTGAGAAGCCACGGACTGCTCATGACAGTCAGAGGTAGGCAGGGGCTCTGGTCAGAGCACTGCATCCCAAAGAGGGACCTGGGTCCCACTGGAGGGAGGGTGCCTGGGGAGGGCGCCCGGGATGAAGAGGGCCCGGAAGTCCTGTCCTGGGTGGGAACGGAGGAGAACAGCTAAGCTGCCCAAGTGTCTCCGGGGCTGCCCTGAACTGGAGGCTTGATCTGCGCAGCCCCAAAGGGTAGAACTGGGGTTCACAGACCCAAAACTCCTACAGCAGGTAAGATTGAAGGAGCGTTTCCCAGTGGTTCAAGCAGATGCCCCATAAAAACTGAGTTCATAGTCACCAAAGGCCAAAAAGCAGAGGTTCAAAGTCACCTAGAAGGAGCTACTGTAGAGGCAGGAGCTGCATTGAGTGGCTTTTCAGCCCAGACCACGGCAGGCAGAGGGTCTGGGGTCAGAAGGCCGGCGCTCCGGTCCTAGCTCAGACACAGCAGAACTGTGTATCCGTGGGCAAGTCCCTTAGACTCCCTAGGCTTCAGTTTCCTGCTCTGAACACTGGGGGTACCAATCGAGGTAACCAGCCTCGATGCCATGAGGCTCCGCAGAAGAGAGCCAGGAGTCTGTGCTGACCAGGCGAGGCTATGGCTGTGGCTAGTGCCCACCCTAGATGGCGCGTCTGCCTAGGCCTGCCCATCCTCTCTTTCAGGTGGGAAGAGGAAGGAGGACTCCGAGCACCCCAAGACCTGCTCTTCTTCTCCCCCCACCTGCCAGAGACCCAGTAACAAGAATGACAATGTGTCTGTGCACCAGGCACGGTGCGGTCTCCTTTGACATCCTCAGCACCGCGTGCAGAGGTTGCTATGGCAACCCCGCTGTAAAGAGGCAGAGGCCCTGTGGCTGGAGAGTGGCCTGGCTGGGATCTGGACCCCTTCATAGCTGGCACTGCCAACCCCACTACATCTCACCTGGCCTGGCCCAAAACACATGGGGCTAGGAGTTAGGAGACTCGATCCTAAGCCTAGATACTCCTCCCTGAGCCCAATTTCCTGATCTGAGCAGTGGCATATATATTGTTCCACCCCCCCTCCCAGCCCAACCCAGGGGAATTAAAGGGATTCTGGGGGCGCCTGGGTGGCTCAGCCGGTTAAGCGTCCAACTCTTGATTTCCACTCAGGTCATGATCTCGTGGTTCATGAGTTTGAGCCCTTCATCGGGTTCTGCGTAGAGCCTGTTTGGGATTCTCTCTCTCTCCCTCTCTCTCTGCCCCTCCCCAATGGGTGCCTTGTCTCTTTCTCTCTCTCTCTCTCTCTCTCTCTCAAAATAAATAAACATAAAAAGGGGGGGTTCTGATAATACCCCTGACTCCACAGGTGGAGGGAAGGGCAGGAGGCAGAGGGGCAGGCTCCTGGGTGAGCTGCACCCCCAGATGGGTCGCTCACCTTCAGGTCCCGGTGCACCACACCCATCTGGTGGCAGTGCAGCACGGCCTCCAGGATCTGCTGGATACAGTGACTGGGGAGAGAGAGGAAGGGGTCATGGGTGAAAGCGGGCCTCTCCCGGGAAAGCTGGGAAGCCGGGGAGGGAGGCCCCCTTGGCCCCAGGCACCGTTGCCAGGCTGCACCTGGCACTCACCTGGCGTCAGCCTCACTGTAATATTCCCGGGCCACGATGTCCTCAAACAGCTCCCCACCAGTAACCCTGGGAAGACAGGCGCAGAGTCACCCTCCCACAAGGGCCCCGGCATTGCCTCTTCCAGAAGAGGCTACAGGAAGCCAAGGGCAGAACCCAGGGACCTCAGAACCTCAGCCCAAAGGGAGGGTGTCTCCTGTTGCGACCCTCTTCCTGGCTGCTAGCCCACCCTTCCACCGACTTCCCTCCCCCCCACCGCCTGCCCTTCTCTCCCCCTGGGTCCAGGCTGGAGTTAGGACAGGGGGATGGGCCACACAGAACATGTCACTCAGGGGCAGCAGGCTCCTGGAAGCCCCAGGACTGGGTTTTGTTGCTGTTGACGTTGCTTGTTTTCTAACAAACTTTATTTCTCAGAGTAACTGTAGGCACACAGAGAAATTGAGCAGAAGGCACACACGTTTCCCAGGCACCCACATGCGGAGCCTCCCCCGCTATTAACTGGTTTTGTTTTGTTTTGTTTTTTTACAGATGGGACCAGTGTCTTCCCTGAAGTTTCTCCACCAACCCAAGACCCTAGCATTTCATTATTGTTTTTCAGTCAATTGACGAGCTTTAAAAACTTTAAAATGACTCCAAAAGGAAACTTTATATGGCCACGAGCCACTCAAAGCCAGCATCACTGGCCACAAACAGAAACAGAATGAAATCTTCGTCAAGGAGCGGAGAAAGCGTGTGTCGGCTTTTCAGGGAACCCCACTGCACGGCTTCGGGGGCAGGCCCACCGCATCTGGGAAACTTCTGTCTCAGAAGAGGGAATTCAGCCCAGTCTGAGGGCACTTGGGAATCAGGCCAAGGGGCCCAGCTAGGTCACCCCTGCTCAGGCTGCCCCTCTACCCCTTGTACATGCCAGGTGGGCCCACACTCACAGGTCGAAGATCAGGTAATGGTGTCCCTCCTCAGAGATGCTGTCATGGAGCCGGACTGTGGGAGGGGTCCAGGCAGCCAGTTAACCCAGAAGCACTGCCTCCCACCCCCTCCTGCCCTCTCACTTCACCTCCCCCACCCCCACACTCCCCCAACAGCCAACATTCCAATCTCTCAGTCACTGAGCACAAGCTAGGTAACAGGTGCTTTGACAAACTGAGTAAATGATGGCTCACTGACTTCGGGCATCGTCCAAAGAGGCCCTGGTTTAAAGATGAAAGGGACCCCCCCCCCCGCTTTGGTCACAGTTTGGCCTCTTTGTTCCCCCAACCCTGAGCTTCCTTGCAGGGCAGGCTGGCCTCATCATGGAATTAGTCCATGGCTCAAATCTCTGTCACTTCTTAGCTGTGTGACTTCAGGCAAGTTGCTACACCTTTCTGAGCCTCTCTTTTCTTGCTTGGACAATGAGACTGAAACTTCTGGACTTGCAGGCGTTCTGGGGGAATTCCATGAGGCACACAGTCGGGGTTCACCCAGTGCTGGCCCTGAGTGAATAAGCCCGCTGTATATCTAGGTCTGAGATAAGGGAGGCGGGAGGGCAGTGGTCCCTGAGTCTGGGTATGCGGAGAAACTCATCTCTTCCTACCTCACTTACCAAGAACAGGGGCAAGGCTCCCTGGAGCCCAGAGCTCCCCAATTTACCCCCTGAGATTCTAGAAGGCAGGGCCCAAGGCCTAGAGCTGACTCTAGGGGGCTGTACCCTGACAGCCAACCACATTCTCTCCCAGGATAGCTTCACATCCTCCCCTGAGCCGCAGCCTAAAAATGGCCACAGAGCGGGGTGTGGGCTCAGAGAATTAAGATACATCGCACAACGGAAAATTACACAGCTGTTAAAATAATACGGCAGTTATGAATCCACTGGTTCAGAATCATCTCTGAATTATGTTGTTTGGCAAAAAAGCAAAGCACAAAACAGTGTGCGTGGTGCTTTTTATAAAAGATGTATTTAAGCCCGTCTATGGCATAAGCCTTTCTGGAAGGATACAGAGAAGTGGGCATTGGGGTACCTTGGGGAGAGGAATCGGGAGGGCAGGGGTTGTGAGCTGTTGAGACTATTTTCCCCTCGACCACTAGTGCTATCTGAATTCTTGCCATGTGCATGTATTTCTCACTCAATATTGAGTCCCCTAGGCGGCTTATGGCTCTCCTGTCTGCACCTAAAGTTTGGAGAAGCAGGCATCAAAACTGCTTCTGAGTGGGTGTCTTCTATGAGGGAGGGGAGAACTTGACAGAGATGGGGGAGGAAGGGAACACAAATGTATTTTATTTTCTTTAAAAAGATTTATTTATTTAAGTAATCTCTATACTGAATGTGGGGCTCAAGTTCACACTCCCAAGACCAGGAGTCACAAGCTCTGCCGACTGAGCCAGCCAGGCACCTTGGGAACACCAATTTAAATTTTTAATTCTTAAATGATGATATGTGTTTATAAATGACTAAAAGAGGGGCATCTGGGTGGCTCTATCGGTGAAGCATCCGACTTCAGCTCAGGTTATGTTCTCACGGTTCGTGGGTTTGAGCCTCGCTTCGGGCTCTGTGCTGACAGCTCAGAGCCTGGAGCCTGACTTAAAAGGCTGTCCCTGTAAGCAGCCAGGCGAAAGGAACACAGGCTGGATTCTAGCCCCCACCTGCCTAAGGACACTGGCATTAGACCCTGGGAGGTGGTGTCATCACAGCTCAGAACCCGGGAGACAAGACACATACCCCTTCCCCCCATCAGTGAAGGCTACCCTAAGAAAAAACTGAGTCCAAAGCCAAAGAGGAAAGGAAAGATTCAAGAGCCGCCGCGGGGTATGAAAGGGTCTCACCACCTGGTAGAGATTGACATGTCTATGGTTGTCGAGCTTTGCTGTCAGTTTCTGACTTTTCAAAAATATTGTCATAGATCAAACCGATCTGTAACCCAGTTTTCATTTATGTAGCTGAACTCATGAATTTCTGGCATTCCTTTCATATTTCCAACAGTTATCAGTTTTTTCTTGGAAATTGAAGGGTAGGGCTTCTTACCCTGTCCAGTGCCCCTCTGACAACACATTCCTGATGTCCACCTGGGAAGCTAAACAGAATGGCTGGGAACCTGGGCTCTGGAGTCAATCTTGCTGGGCTCACCTCCCAGCTCTGCCTCTTATAAGCTGTGCAATTTGGGGCAGACTAGGGAACCTCCCTGATCCTCCTTTCCCACCAGTGGCGATAACACCACTGACCTTCCGGGGGAAGTTAATCGACGAGGTTTGTAAAGCCCTCAACACAGTGTCTGGCACAGAGAAGAACCTGATAAGTGAAGACACCGTCATCTTCGTTATCGACCAGCCTCACTCCTCTTGCCCACCTCAAATCACTTGCTAAACTCTCAGGTGGCCTTGGGGGTTTGCCCCATCAGCAGGTGGCAATACAGAGTATAGGGCGCTGTCCCATGTGCATGGAACAATTGGACCTCCCTGGGCTGAGCCAGAGTCTCCCGGACCCGGGCCCCTTGGCACCAGCCACACACAGGCAGCAGCTAAGACTCAATCTAGCTTTGCCTATTGGGTTTGCATCCGCGGCTGCACCTCTTTGCATTTCTTTGGGCGGATTATAATCTATTTAGAAGTGAGATACTTGGAGGATCAGGAAGTATCACCCTCCAGGGCCCTTCCAGCCCTAACATAGCTTGGGTTCTTCCCCCGCATCTTCCTGGCCTGGGTCTCAGCTCCGCTCTCCACTTCCCTGTGCATCAGCCACCCCCGCCCCATCCTTACTTCTTCCGCACATCCTCTGTCCCTAGCAGAGGCCTGGGCACGTGGTGGGGCCTCGAGATGCCCTTGCTATCAGGTAAAGGAAGGAAGGAGTAAATGATTCAATGATGATGGCGATGATAAAGGTAATAGCCGTCGTTTCTGAGAGTTTCCCATGGGCCAGGCTTGTGCTAAGTTCTTTATTTGCACATTCTCACTTAACCCTCCAACAGTTGTAGACGGTGGATATCATGACTACCCTCATGAAGAGGATACTGAGGGTCAGAGAAGTTCAGAGCCTACCCACCCCCAAACACCTAGTGAACAGCAGAGCTGGGTGGATATCATGACTACCCTCATGAAGAGGATACTGAGGGTCAGAGAAGTTCAGAGCCTACCCACACCCAAACACCTAGTGAACAGCAGAGCTGGGATTTGACCCCAGGTGTGAACCCCATTCTCTTAACCGCCATGTTAAATACAGTGCCCCAAACTGGTGACCAAATGCCTTGATGGCTCACAGGAATGAGAATCGTGTGGAGGTTACCCTTTCAGGTAAGGTTGTTTTTGTGGAAAGGTGTGGACTAGGAAAAAGGGGAGCAGCTTAATGATAACAAAACACTTACCTCGGGACCGTCACTGCGTTATGCTCTATCTAATCATCACAACCCTATGAGGCAGGTATCATTTCCATTCTCCAGATGAGAAAACTGAGCTCCAGAGTGGTTAAGCAACATATCCAGGGTCACACAGCAATTAAGCAGCAAACCCAGGATCTGAGCTGCAGTCTGTCAGCCCCAGAGCCCATAACGTACTGCTCCCCATGCATAGCTGGGAATGAGAGGGGGAAGGAAGTGCAGAGGAGACAGCGCTGGCCTGAGACAGCTGCACTGTGCAGCAACACACACCCTTACACACGCAGCCCCCCTCCCCCCGCTCCCTCCTCTGGGACTGATGGCCTCTCTCAGAGATCACTCACAACCCCGTCCGTCATACAACTGGGGAGGTGGAGGCCCCCACCAGGCAGGGGCTTGCCTAAGGTCGCACAGTGAGTCTGCAAGCAGGTCAGGGATTGGGGTCTGACCTGGCTCCTCCCCACCAGCTGCCTCGCTGCCCCTCTTCTGATTCTGGCCCTGGAGCCTCTGACTACTGTTTGCACAGCTTTGCTCCCCTTCCCTGGGCACAGGGAAGGGGAGGTGCCTTTTGGGTATAAATAGCAGATGGAGATGCTTCTCTCCAGCGGGAGAGTTAACCCTTGGGGCTCTGGGCTACAAGAGGCTTCCTTCCCACAGGCAAAGGCGTGGCGGCTGTCAAGAGTTGGAATATTCCTTAGAGAGCACCTAGGCCTTATTCCTCACAGTGCTGTCTGAGCCCACAGCCTCGGGGTCACCTTGGAGCATGTTAGAAATGCCAAACCTTGCCCTCCCCCGCCCCCAAACCCACTGAACCAGAATCTACCTTTTAACAAGATGCCCAGATGATCCAGAGGGTGTTTCCTTGTGAAGTTGGGGAGGAGAGTGGCTCAGAAAGGGAAGGGCTCCTACCCAAGGTCACACAGCCATTCCCTGACAGAACTGTATCTAGAATCTGCACTTTCTCCCCACACCCTACCCCCAGCCGCCCAACTCAGAACCACGATGGGCAGGGAGGCAGCCCCTCAATCATGAAAGGGGGAGGAGGGGAGGTCAGCCAGTGACCTGTGGTCTAGGCATGGCCTCTCCCTGCAGCCTGTCCTCATTCTACCCCTGGGGCGTGGCCACCTTGGAGCCTGCCTGGGGAGGGGGTGGGGGTGCAGGCAGGCCCCTGGGCCGGGCTGGTGGACCAGCCACTGTGCCAGGCTGACTCAGCATGGGGCAGGTTTGGGGAGTGGGCCGTGCTGGTCAAGGCCAAGCCTGGCCTATTTTCATCTCTCCCAGAGCTTTAGGAGTTTTCCTGAAACAGCTTTTCTGAAGGAGGCTGCCGGCAGCAGCGTGGGCTGGGAGGAAGGGCCCCCTTCTTCACCTTCCCCTCAACCAAGCTGGTCTCTGAGAGATATGGAAACCATTAAATGTACCCCCTTTCCCGTCACGATGGCCATCAGTCCCAGAGAAGAGAGCAGCTGCCCTCCCAGCCTCCAAACCCCCAGCGGCCGGGCAGGGGAGCAGGGCCGGCCCCGCCCACACCCCTCACTCATCCCCCATGGCTCACCGATGTTGGGGTGCTTCAGCAGGCGGCAGATGCGGGCTTCGCGCTCCAGCTTCTGATGGTCTGAAACACAGATGCCTGGGTGAGTCCCTCTGCCGCTTCCAGGCCTCTTCAGACCTGCACGGGCCGGGGCAGCCCCTGGGCTCACCTGGAAAAGCTCACCTTCCTGGCGCTGCAGTGCCTCGGGAGTCGCTTCCTCTCTCTGGGCCCTGGTGTCCAGGGCTCTCAAATGAGGTGCCTCCCTGCGCCACAACCGCAGAGCCTGGAACAGCCCCCCGCCCCTGGCTCCGGCCTTGCCCCTCCCACTGCACTCCAGGCAGATTGAACTGCTTTTCCAGACCCACCCTGCACAGCCCTCTCACTTGGGCTTGGGGGCCTTTACCCATGTGGGTCTCTCAGCTTGGAACTTTCCCTTCCAACCTCCCAGCTGGCCATCACTGGCCATCCCTCATTCATCCCACTTGTCTTCCATACGCCTTCCCCTGGCAGCCTGTCCTGACTGCCAGGCTGGTAGGGGGCCCCTCCTCTGCGCTCTCAGGGCCCCTGGACAATGCGTCCTACCTTGTCTCCTGGATATCTTTACCGCTGAGGGCAAGAACTTAGTCTCTGTTGTACCCTGACATCTACCCAAATGCCTGGCACATAGTAGGTGCTTAAGAAATAATTGCAGTAAAGAATAAACCATTGAATGGTGAACCTTTCTAAAGGACTATGTATTTTCTCTGCAGGAGAGAACTGTATTCATTTGCAGAGGCCGCCTCCCTTGCAGAGGACTCCGGACCAGGGACATGGAGAGCCCCAAAGAATCTGCAGTATAGGGGGCGCCTGGGTAGCTTAGTCGGTTGAGCATCAGATTTCTGCTCAGGTCATGATCTCACGGTTCATGAGTTAGATCCCTGCATCATGCTCTGTGCTGACAACTCAGAGCCTGGAACCTGCTTCAGATCCTGTGTCTCCCTCTCTCTCTGCCCCTCCCTTGCTCACACTGTCTCTCTCTGTCTCTCAAAAATAAGTAAATGTTAAAAAAAAAAAAAAAAAAAAAAGAATCTGCAGCATACAACCTGTATGCGGGAGCTCGGGGCTTTCACACCTGCTTTCCAGGACTTTTATCCAAACCCGCAGGGAGAGAGGACTTGTTCAGAATCTGCCCCACCCCCACCCCGTGGTCTGTGACTCTGAGGCTTCTGGGAACAATCCTACCCATGACCCCCTTCAATCCTCCCAATGACCCTGTGCTGTGGGCATTTTATGCCTGGCCCCTGACCCCATTTTATGCATTTCTTGATTCCTTTTGGGTGCTTTCCTCACAATTCACCAGTTAATGACTTAATTTTTAAAAAATTAATTAAAAAAAATTAAAAGGAAGCCGGTAGCAAATATACAAGATTTACTAGGTGCCCAGCACTGTGCAGAGCACTTTTATATGCATCTCAAGTTCTCACAACAGCCCTTTGAGGGAGGTGCTGTCATGTTCTGGCTTTACAGAGGAGGGAACAGAGGAACAGAGAGGTTAAAATATACCTGGCTCAGAGTCACGCCTGTAGTGATCAGTGGAGCCGCAGTGTACTCAGGCAGTCAGACTCCAGGGGAGAGCTTTAAAACCCTGTGCCGGGGAGCCTGGGTGGCTGTCGGTTAAGCATCCAACTTCAGCTCAGGTCATGATCTCACGGCTCGTGGGTTCGAACCCCACGTCAGGCTCTGTGGTCACAGCCAGCTCAGAGCCTGGAGCCTGTTTCGGATTCTGTATCTCCCTCTCTCTCTGACCCTCCCCTGCTCACGCTGTCTCTCTCTCTCAGAAATAAATTAAAAAATTTAAAAAAAATAAAAATAAAAATAAAAATAAAACCCTGCACCATACTGTCCTCCACACCCTGACTCACCACCTTCACCACCTGCCCCCAATTTCTGAATGGGAAAATCGAGGCCCATACGAGGGAGCTTATGCAGAAAGGCAGAGGACTAGAGCCCAGTCTCTGAATAGCCCCTTCTGAGCAGGCACAAGGAAGACAATAAGGATGGAGAAAGTTCCAGCCCTTGTCCCCAGGCAGCCAGCTCCCTTTCCCCTGCCTCTTTATTAGAGCAATCGCTATCAGAGCAATCACTGGCTGTCCTCCACGGGCTGCAGAAGCCAAGATCAATACCAAAATGTGGCTTTTTCATCAGCAAAGCAATTAAGTCCAATCCTGTTTCCATAGAGCGTAAGCTCAACTCCCCAGCCGAAGGTAGACAGCAGGCTGGGGGAGGGGAAGTTGTCCACACTGGGGGGCATCCCCCTGGTCCCCTCTCTCTCCCAGCCTCCTTCCATATCTTCCAGGGTTGGGGTGAGGCCAATCCCCACACAAAAGAGGGGGTCCCCTGCAAGGGCTGGTAAGGACCCTAGCAGACTGAGGAAGGCTGGGCCTTCCCTTGGCCCCACACCCTGTCCCCCACCTCACCCACCCCCAGCAGAACCAGAAATCAGGAAGGTCGAAGTGGAGTCTATCAGAGGGGCTGGGAGTCTTCTGGCCCAGGCCACACATTCAGCGGGGGGTGGGGGTGGGGGAATCCAAATGCAGAATTCTGATGCTCTGCCCCCTAGCGAGGTCACCCAGGAGCAGAGTTACACTCACTGCATATGGCATGTAACGTGACAGCCCCTCAGACTTGAACCTGGTGGCCTGTCCTCACTGCTAGAAATGCCAGGAGCTGTGTTTCTCTTGACCTCAGAGGCCTTGCTCTGTTATGTAGGCAAGGAAACTGAGGCCCAGTGATAAAAGAGCCATCCCTTTATCAAAATCACTCAGTAGGGTGGTCATGCCTTATTAGAGCTCAGAGCTCTGAGGGGCCGCTCCTGAATGTCCCCTACTGCAGCCGATAGTCCTTGGCGGTGAAGAACCTTTTATTAAAATATGAATTAGATGCCGTCACTCCCTGGCTTCAAACCCTCCAACAGCTCCCTATTGTGCTTATAATCCAAACTCCTCACCACAGCCAACGAGGCCCTGTTGGGCCCTGCCTCATCGCGGCCTTGGAGCTTCAACCACAGTGGTGGCCTCCTTTCTGGCCTCAGGCACGCCGAGTGCCTTCGCACCTCAGGGCCTTTGCACTTGCTGTGCCTTCTGCCTAGCATGCTCTTCTCCTGGGTCTTCTTATGGCTGCCTCCTTCTCCCCTGGCAGGTCCAGCACATCACCTCTTCAGAAGCGCCTTTTCTGAGTGTCCCCCCTCGGCCCCCCACTTCCCCACTACCCTCTCTTCACTATAACACTCTTTGCTACCTGCAGCTACCCAGTTTATTTATATGTTTAACGTTATTTTCAGTCTTCCTCCCTGGAAAACAGGTGCAAAGAGAGCACGACCTTGTCTGTCAGTCACTGCCATGCTCCCAGGGCCCAGAGCCACTAAGTAGCTTGTCCAAAGTCCCATAGCTAAGACACGGCAGCGCTGGGACTTCAACCCATGTTCCTAATCACTGTACGATATATCGCCTCCGGTTCTCATACTTAATTAATTGATAAGTCAATCCATCCAGCTCCACACAGTCCCACAGTGGTGAGAGGCCTGAGGGAAGCCTCCTGCCCAGGTACCTGAAAGGATTAGCCCCGAGGCCCACTACGGTCCCTTGTGAACCTTCTCCCTCGCTCCCTGAGGGCAGACCTCCAGGGTGGGTGAAGGGGCCCTCCTGCCCAGGAGCTCGGCAGGCAGGGGTGAGGGGAAGTAAGGTTCGGGGTGAGCTTCCTGGGACCAGACAGCGCCCAAAGGGCAGGGCAGGATAAATCAGAGCAGGGCGGAAGTGCAATCAGGCAGCCCGGAAGTCTGCGCCCGCAGAGGGGGCGGGCTCCAGCGGCCACGTGGGCAGAGGGACTCTGGCCGGAGGCACAGGAACCAGGGGGCCAAAATAGATGTCAGGGTCTTACGAGAGGAAATGCCCGCACCCTCTGTAGGGCCTCAACAGGGTTCCTGATCCTGGGGGTTGAAGAACCAATCCCAAGGGCCAAAAGAGCCAGGCAGGGGTGGGGAGTAAGATGAGGAAGGCGGGAAGGATGTGTCTTACTGCCTCCTTCCCATCATGGACCTCAGGGGTCGCCTGGATGAGCCCATGCCATGTCCTGGGACAGGTTGCCAGGGAGCCAAGGGAAGGACCCCTCAGCATCAGATAGACAGTGGGGACCGAGAAAGTCCGTACCCCAGTCAGTCTCACCTGGCTGTGCCAGCCACATCCATGTGCCTGGTGAGCCCTCAAATGTTAATGAATTTTTCTTTTTTTTTTAATGGGGGAAGGGGACAGAGTTCCAAGCACGGTCAACGCAGAGCCCAACATGGGGCTCAAACTCACTAACTGCGAGATCACGACCTGAGCCAAAATCAAGCATCGGCTGCTTACTCACCCAGGCGCCCCAATGACTTCTCTGTGTGCTGGGTGCGGCTGTGGCCAGGAGGCACACGCAGCCCCGGGCAGGGCACTGTCACTGGGCATACACTAGCTGGCATCACTGCTGATAGGAGTTCGGGCCTCACCTACTGAATCCGGCCCTCCAGGGTGGAACTAGAGAGATGCATTTTTTTAAAGGCTGCCAAGGGGCATCAGCAGGGTTGGGGACAGGCAAAATGTTTACTTTCTGTTCCAGGTCTCTGTGGCTTCTTGGAACTGTTTATACTATAAGTATCTTATTTAAAAGACTAGTTTTGGGGCACCCGGGGGGCTCTGTTGGTTAAGTGTCTGACTTAGGCTCAGGTCATGATCTCACCATTCATGAGTTTGAGCCCCATGTCAGAGTCAGCCTTGACAATGAGGAGCCTGCTTGAGATTCTCTCTCTCTCTCTCTCTCTCTCTCTCTCTCGGCTCTCTCCCTAACTCTCCCCTGCATGATCTCTCTAAATAAATAATAAATAAACATTTTTTAAAAAGAGTAGTTTTAAAATACATACAGAAAACCATCTCCTGGGTTGGGGAGCCACTCAACAGAAGAAGAGGCTGACCCGGGTGGGGAAGGGGACGCCTCGGCGGCTCCCTGGGGCAGGGGGGAGGACGGCTGCTCAGAGTGGTGTGGCCCCCGCAGGGAGCTGTCAAAGTCACCGAGAGTGCCAGCAGGAGAAGCTTAGGGTATGTTGCCAAATAGTCAGCATGACACTGCTCCCCACCCCAGGCACCATGAGTGGCAAACAAAGAAACCTGGGAACAGCAGCCCTCCCCTCCCCTCCCGCTGGGGAGAGGAGTTGGCAGCGGCAGACTTTTTTGAGAAGGTTCCCCTGAGAACCTCCCCACTCCCACCCTCCACGCTCACCTAGGCCTGGGCCACCTTCCTCTAAGGATGTCAGAGCCTAAACACATTGCCAAAGAAAAACAGGAGACTTGGCAGTTTCCTCCCGGTGTGGCCCAGAGTCTACACTGCCCAAGGAATGCTCAGTCCTACTGTTCGGAAAAGAGGCAATGCCCTTTCCATTCTCCCTCATAAACATCTGTCTCTTCCTGTCAGAGTGTGTGCGTGTGTGTGTGTGTGTGTGTGTGTGAGAGAGAGAGAGAGAGAGAGAGAGAGAGAGACAGAAAGAGAGAGAGAGAGGGAGAGAGAGAGAGAGAGACTGCCCAAGAGCCCCAGCATCAAGGGAAGACATTGGTTCCTGACCCTCCCTCAATCTGCCCCCCCATCAAGTGTGGCCCTAATCTTGTCCCTACTGTATCTCAGGAATTGGGACATCTCCTTTGATCCCTAGAGACATAAAGCACAGAGAGGGTGCCAGACTGCCACTGGTCACACAGCATGCAAGGCAAATCCCAGCACCCCTGCAGCCTTCCTACCTGCCCTGCCTCCCTGCCCCTGGCTCTGGCTCCCGACCTCCCACAGGTGCCGCCCTTCCACGCCAGCTTTACCCTGAATGTGTGCCGTCTTGGCCGCCCCAGGGGCCCTCGGAAAACCACCCCTCACACAGCCAGCCTCTCCTCCCGGCAGGACACTGGCTGCCTACGGGGGAGTTCAGTGGCTGGGAGAAGGTACTGGGATACCAGGAACGCTGAGCCAGAGAGATGAAAGGCGGCAACATGCAGCGGAACACGGGGCCTGCTGGGAGGCCCGCGGGGGGCAGTGTGAACATCCTGTATCAGCCTCCGTGAGCCCCACACCTGCTGGGCTCCGGCCCAGACGCAGCTGCCACCTATGCCAGGCAAACCCCTGGACACGAAGCCAGACCCTCACTCAACATCCCCCGTGCCGCACCCGCCCCTGCCTCACTCAACAGAACTCCCTTCCCCTCCCCTCCCCTCCAGGAGGCCCCCAAGCCAGATAGACGCCATTCAGAGCAGGAATCTGAGTTTGGAAGATGACTTTCCCCAGCACGCTGACCACAGTTACTGCCATTCCCACTCGACCACAGGCTAAGGGCAAGAAGCAACGCTCTGGGCAGGCTTTCCAAGTCCAATGTCCGCACGGATCCCCGATGCATCTTGTTAAAATGCACACCCTGATTCCTTACGTCTAGAAACAGGAAACCTTTCTAATAATCTCCCGGTGATGCTGATGCCGCATGTCCAGGACCATTTCCAAACGGGAATTATCTGGGGATTTCTTCCAAACCCAGGTCACATCTCACCCGGATTAATCACAACCTCGGTGGGTAGGAGGAGCCAGGTACCTGGAGGTGTTGAAGCTCTCTGGGCATTCCAGGTGAGGACAGTTTGGGGAGCCAGTGTTCTTGGGAATATTTAGGGATGAGAAAGTGGACTTGTGGGGCTGAGGCAGATTGTACCTGGCGCTCGCTGGCCTCTGGTAGAGCACTGGGATGTGCTGGCTGCTATCCTCGGTGCTGGGTGCTATCCTAGGTGCTGGGTGCTATCCTTGGTATTGGGGATAGCAGGGATGAGACCTATCCCCACCTTCTTGTTGCTTAGAGTCAAGAGGGAAGATGGATGTTAAATAAGGGACCAAGCCAGTAAGTGGGATGAATCCAGGTTGGGGTAAAGCCACAAAGGTAAACAGTAATAACATAAAATACGGGAGGCCCTCTCAGATCTGGGGGCCAGGGAAGCCTCTCAAAGGATGGGACATTGAGCTGTGACCTGAAGGTTTAGATAGGGCCAGGCTTGTTAGGAGCCAGGTGGGGGCATCCCAGCAGAAGGAATGGCGGGTGCAGAGGTCTGCAGATGAGAGAAGAAGCAAGTGGCAGGAGAACAGGGAAAGGAAGTCCTATCTGGCACCTTTGCCTTCACCTGGGTGGGAGGCAGAGAGCCTGGCCTGTCAGAGAGGCTGTGGCCTCCAGCCTCGGTCCCCGAAGGAAGGAAAATGGAGGGGTCTGTTATAACACCCACAGGAGAAAGCAGTTCCCTACTGCGCCGTCATCCCGGGGGACAGACCTGGGTCCTGGCTCTAACCCCAGGGGTAGAGAGAAGAACAGCCCCAGAGGGCGGTGAGGCACAGATCTGCCACCTACCTCTGGCTGATAGCTTCTTGGTGTTGATGATCTTAGCAGCATACTCCTGGCCAGCCAGCACCTTCACACACCTGCGCACCACTGAGAAGGCTCCTCTGGAAGGACAGAGAAGGCAGAAGGGGTAAGGAAGGGCCCAGGGACGGTCGCATCACTAGGATAGACAGAAGTCCATGTGTCTGCACCCTGCTGGCTAGAGAGACCTGCTGCAGGGCTGCAGGAGCTCTCTGGGACAGCTGTGGCCTGACTCGGGGACAGGGCAGGGCTAGAGACCCGGGAGAACCATGGGAAGCAGATTCTCAGGGCCCTGGCCCACCAGAGATGAGCCTTCTGGAACTGTAATAAGTTGGACTCCCCTAGTTGTAAAACATTAGAATCATGTAGTGTTGGGATCATAGCATCCAGGTCACTGAAAGATTTTAGTGTTCCAGTCCTTGAGTAGGTAACACATCAACACGGTTCAACGTTCGAAAGATAAAAAGACTCCCTCCCACCCCTGAACCCCAGCCTCCGAGGTCCCATCCCCAGGGACAGCCAGTGTCACCAGGTCCTTGAGCAGCTGTGCACAAATACGCTCCCCCACACAAAGGGTAGTGGAACTTGCACACTGTTCTCCACCCTCCTTTTTTTTTTTTAAGTTTATTTATTTATTTTGAGGAAGAAAGGGGGAGAGAGTGAGCAGAGGAGCAGAGAGAGAGAAAGAGAGGGAGAGAGAGAATCCCAAGCAGGCTCCGTGCTGTCCGTGCAGAGCCTGACCCAGGCCTCCAACCTATAAACTGTAGGATCATGACCCGAGCAGAAACTAAGAGCTGGGCACTTAACCGACTGAGCCACCCAGGCGCCCCTGCACCCTACTTGTTTTTAGTAAATATTTTGGAGATACTCCTCCCAAATTATAACATAAAGAGGGCACTTGGGTGGCTTAGTTGATTAAGCATTTGACTCTTGATCTCAGCTCAAGGCAAGATCTCACAGTAGGTTCGAGCCCCATGTCATGCTCTGTGCTGAGTGTGGAGCCTGCTTGGGATTCTGTCTCTCCTTCTCTCTCTGCCCCTACCCTGTGCTCTCTGGCTCTCTCTCTCAAAAATAAACAAGCATTTGAAAAATCTTTAAAAAACACAAAAAACAATTGTAACATAAAGAGCTCCTCATTATTTATTCATATGTCTGTCCTATAATTTACTTAGCAGTCCCCTGCCAATGGGCAATTAGGTTAGTTCATACCATATTACAAACACTATTGCAATAACTAAACTTATATGTGTGCCTTAGAATTACGTTTCTCGTGTGTGCAGCTGTCTGTGGATAAACGCTGAGAAACTGTGTTACTTAGTCAAAGGTTACCCTTTGTTATTGGTAATTTCAATAGATAATGAAAGATTTTCCATCGCAGAGATTGTACCAACTTATTTTCTCTAGTATGCAAGGGGATCATTTTCCTCTGCCCTTGTCAACAGTGTATCATCAAAGTTTTTTGTCTTTGCTAGCGAGATAGCTGGAAAAAGGCGACTAAGTGTAGACTTGATTTGTAATTCTCATATTGATTAAGGGTGAGCCTCTTTTCACACGTTTTAAGAGGCCTTTACTTGATCCTCAAAATATCAGCGGTTCAGAAAAAATTTGGAGCAAGGGATGAGTTTCAGCACTTGCATGGGGACATTGATTCCTGCCATGTGGAGTGTGGCCATTTCCCAGATCATTCAATTTTTTGATAAAAGCCAGAAGTCTGGATATTTATGTGAAATTTCCCAATTTTTAAAGATTGGTACCTTGTTCTTAAAAAAATGTTTTTAAGATAGTATCTGGCCAAACATAACTAGTTTGAGGGTTAGATCTCATATCTAAAAGCTATGTCATACCCCCCACCCTCCACAAAGGTCATCTGGTCCAACTCCCTTGTACCAGAGGACAAACCTTCCCTGCCCCTACGGAGCTGGACACTGACCATGGGACCACGTTACCACCCTAACCACAGACTAATGGCAAGAAGCAAGTCTGTGGGCAGGTTTCCCCTATTTTATGTTATGTTATATTATGTTATGTTATGTTATGTTATGTTATGTTATGTTATGTTATGTTATGTTATTTTTGACAGAAAAAGAGAGAGACCATGCACCAGCAGGTGAGGGGCAGAGGGAGACAGAAAGAGAGAGAGAGAGAGAGAGAGAAAGAATGTTAAGCAGACACCACGCTCAGTGTGGAGCCCAACACAAGATTTGATCCCAGCCCCTGGGATCCAGACCGAGCTGAAATCAAGAGTCCAAAGCTCAACCCTCAACAGACTGAGCCACCCAGGTGCCCATCCCAGTTTTAAAGTGTATGTGAATCACCAGGTGTCTTATTGAAATGCAGATTCAGATCCCTTAAGCCAGGAGTGGAGCTCAGGACTCTGGGAGCTCAGTGTAGAAGGCTCACACAGCCAGCTGTAGGCAGGGCCGGGGCTGGAACTCTGGCATTTGCTCTCCCTCACCAAGGGAGCCTGCCACACCCAGGTTCCCGACATGGCCACATCCTCCAGACCGTGATGCCCTATCTTCCGCGTATGCGCAGGTCCAGGCCCGAGAGGCTGGCACAGACGCCCTCTCTGCATACGCCCTGGGCGCGGTGTCACCGGTTTCATGTCTGGGCGGCATGAACCGAGAAGGGGGAAGACTGGGAGGGGATGAGGAAGAAAGAGCCAGGAGGGGGCTGGAGACCAGGAAATGTGACCTCTAGGAAAGCCCTAGAAGACCCAGAATTCCTGGACCTTCCCTGAGGTGTGCACCATGCTGTCCTCCTCCCCGCCACACACCCAAGAAAGCAGCGAGACCTGGGCGTCCTTCCCGGTGAAGCCTCCCTATTATGGGCCCGCTGGCCCGTGCTCCCAGAGCACTCCACTCCTCCCCATCTAGTCCAAGTTCACGGCTGGTTGTTCCTCCTGTTGGTCCCTCCCACCTGACTGTAAGTTCCTGAGGGCCAGGACTTTCACTTTCTTCTCCACGTGCCTGTTCCCCGGGGAACCCAATGTCTGTTACCAATAGGGCCTCCATAAATGTTACTTGCAGAAACAGGAGGTGGATTGAATTCACAGTGAGAGGGACCCAAATGAGACAGGGAAGAGGATTTTCCATCAGGGGTGTTAGGAATGGAAACAGGCAGCTGAAGAGGTAGGGCACAGCTCATCTCTCAAAGAGACGTCAGACAGAAAGGGGGATGGACCCAAAGACCTTCAGGTCCCTGCCCAGCTGGAGGCCAAGATTCTCAAAGGCCCCAAGGGACACAGTGTTTAAGGTGCTCCCTCTGGGAAAGGTTGGAGGGCCTCAGGGAGAGCAGGGGTAGGGAAGGAGAGAGGCTGTAAGCTCCTGAGCTCAGGGACCGAGTCGTGTCTCACTCACCGGCATCTAGCCCTTGTTTGGTCTGGAGCCTGTAATTGATTACAGTGGGATCGAGGGATGGAGGGGTAGTGGGAGGAAGGCAGGGAAAGAAGGGTGGATATAATTTCTCCACCGAAGAAACAAATTCTAAGAAGTAGAAACAACTAAGTAAAAAATCCCATTCCAAGTAAAGACCTTAGACCAGCGGTTATCAAAGTGGCTATTCCAGAATCCTCTGGGGATATTTTTAAAATATATACGCCAGAGCTACCCATCCAGAGCTACCAACTCAGAACCTCAGGGCAGAGGCCCAGGGGAGGTGTATTTTCATTTCACACATGGGTTCAGGGCATTGTTTCCCATTGTTGCCCAGCCAACCGGGCTGTCCTGCCTGCCTTCTGCGGGCATCCTACGAGATACCCTGACCCTGGACCTCAGCCCTGAAGAAGCTGGCACATGCACCTTTGTGAAGGGTGGCTTGATGGGCCCATGAACCAGGGCTCTGCCTTCGGAGCTGAGAACCTAAGAGCCACATCCAGAAAACAATCGAAGGCCCATTTGCTAAACTTTCATCCTGAGTCACAGTGCCAAGCTTTTGCCTAAGTCTCAGCTTCTAACTCAGGGTCCGAACTAGGTTCTAACATGGGGAGGGCTGCTACAGGGCCCATGTAGCCTCTGAAGGACATCCTGGGCCTCTGAAAGTAGGTATGTGCATTTTTTTCTGGGGCAAGGATGCATAGCTTTTAGCAGCTGCTCAGAGGGAGGAGTTTATCAAAACCAGTTCAGAGCTACTGATCCATAGGGCATCAGCCTCCCACGTACCCGGAAGGCATCCTCCTTTCAAATGCATGTGAGCCACTAAGCTCCTCCTTGACCACAGCAGCACTGTGAAGTTGGAATGATCATCCCCGTTTAACAGATGGGGAAACTGAGGCCTCAGGTGAACAGGCATAGTGGGTCTTTGAAGAGAATGAAGGTCACCTGCACTTGTTCTGATTCCACCAAAAGCGGGAAAGTGTGACCCCTAAGAGCGGGGCCTCTGGGCTCACAAAGCTCTGTGGTCTGATCGTGACTCACCCCCAACTGTGACATTGAACTTGATACTGAACTCTGTTTCCTCCTATAAAATAGGGACCATAATAGCATCTACCTCCTGGATTTGTTGGAGAGATTAAGTGAGATCACATGTGCAAATCGCTGGGCCAGGCACAGAGAGCATCAAATGGGGTGCGGGGGGGAGGAAAGGGCCCCACTCCAGGGAGCCCCTCTTTCTACCTACACAGCCTCAGGTCTCCCACCCATAAGTGGGAAGGTTCATCTCTGCTTGCCATGGTGCTGGGGGTCAGGAAGATGAGGGGCAGAAGAGAATCAGTAGCAAAAATGAGACTAACCTCCTCTCTTTTGTATCTTCTGCTTTAAACACGCCTATTTCTGCATTCTTGTCCTGCGTGAGCAAGTGGCCACAGCCCAGCAGCCTTGGCAAATAACAGAAAAGCCAGCCCAGTTCTCCTACGGCCCTTAGTGAAGCAGGTGGCTAGTAGGTGGATGGGCAGGAGCTTGGAAACAGGACAGGGCAGAGAGAGGAGGTGGCCAAGATGGGAACCTCAGGGTGGAAGGGAGGGACCAGGGGTCCTGAAAGGAAGGGACAAAGTCTGTGTGTGAGGACCCAGTGTGAGTGTCCACGGACAGGTCCTGGAAGCATCTGCGAAGGTGTTTCCGGGTGCAAAGGGGCCGAGGGGGGCATT